CCAACGGACTCTTCCGTGAAGCTCAAGGATGAACACTATGTTCAGGTGTAGGGGTTTAGGGTTTGGGGTTTGGGGTTTAGGGTTTAGGGTTTAGGGTTTAGGGTTCTTCTAGGCTATATAAACCCGAAACCCTAGTACTCTTCTGGAGCTAGCTCGGCACTCTTTGCCTTTTCGGCACCGAACTTGATTGTCGTCCGCCTGGAACTTGAAGTTCGGGTGGACCTACTCGTGGCTGATTGGACATGTAGGTACGCATATGCATGTACGCGGTTGCATGGTCAGTTCCATACATGAGTGTGTCCTTTGCCATACATGTTGCCTCTTTTACTTCGGGGAACAAGCCTGGGACCATCAGCTTTATGACACGTCATGCCCTCTTCATGAGTATTCAGATATGTAGTGCTGTTTGAGTGAGTACTGCATACACCCTGATAGTGCATACATACATACATACGTATATATATATATATATATGCATGTGTAGACTTTTTGGTGTACATCTGTATGCTTACCCCAACCCGTACCCCAACCCGTATTTTTCCCAGTTTGGTGCATTTTCTTTGGCTTCTTCTCCTTGTCAAAAAACTCCAACCTGGAAACGGTCGTAGAGGAGCCCTGCACATGCGTCAGCTCAAGCCAGTTCTGGAAGAAGGCCAACAGCAAGAAGATCCGGGATCCGCGGCAGAGATGGGAGGCCAAAATTCTGGAGGAGATCGGTGGCCTTGGTGCCATGACGAAGGCCAAGATCCTGGCAGACCTTGCCGGACTTCGCGCCGTGGTGGAGGAACTGCGGGGCCGCCTTCCTGGAGCTGCACAGCAGCCGGCGACTTGGGCCTGGCTTCCAAACGAGCCCAGCGGATGTCAGAAAAGCGGCCTGGGAGCTACAGGGTCTAGAGCTGACGAGGGTTGGGGTTTGGGGTTTAGTGTTTAGGGTGTAGGGTTTAGGGTGCACGGTTTTCAGGGTTCAGGGTTTGGGGTTTGGGGTTTGTGGGTTTCGGTCTCAGTGGGCAGGATCTCATTCATTCTAAGAGCAGTGGACGTTGCTTCCAGTGAAGTTATAAAGGTGCTGCAAGTCCCCCAAACGCGTCTGCCGCATTGATGAAGCCAAGGGCCCGTTTTGTTTGTTTAAACCCCACTGCAGACTTGAGAGCTTATAAGCGCTTAGGGCTTACGGTTAACGGACTACGGTTGCGCGCTTAGGGTTTAGGATTTCGGGTTGGGGTTTAGGGTTTAGGGCTCAAAAGGGCTTAGGGCTTGCGGGTAACGGGATAGGTTACCTCAGCTATGGCCCTTGCAGGTGGCCGATGGCGTTTGGTGTTGGCACTCACAAAGCAAATGGCATCCGAAGGCTACTCGGCACAATGCCTACGGCCTGGGTTTTGACACAGAAGCCTGCTTGGTGCTTTCATGGGTTTCCTTACTACCCTTCTCTATACAACCCCCCAATACCCCCCCCCCCCCTAAATTCCCCGTGAAATAACCTTAATTAAGCGGCCTAGTTATCCCTAAATCGCCTTAATTTTGGACGGAACCTACGGGGGGGGGGGGGTAGTATAGAGGGGGGTCAGTAGGGGAAACCAGAAAGCTCGGGCACCCAGGATTTTGTAGCTCTGGGTTGCATGCTGGTCGCTGACAAAAAGGCTGCAGAACCCTCGAATCCAAAAAGCCAGCAACCTCAAGACCAAAACCCTCAACAAACCCTAAACCCCAAACCCCAAAACCCAAACCTTAACCCCTACACCCTAGACCCCAAACCCTAAAACCTAAACCCCAAACCCCAAACCCTAAACGCTAAACCCCAAACCCTAAACCCTCAACCCCAAACCCTAAACCCCAAACCCTAAACCCCAAACCTAAAGCCTAAACCCTAAACCCTAGACGCTCCGAGGCTTGCAACCAGATCTCGTCACTCTCAGCGCCTGTCTCAGGGCCTTCACGGCAAGCCGGTGGCTTAGGGTGCCTGGTACCGGCTGTTACCTGACGGTTCACTATAAGGAAGAACATCGCTTTTTGCCTGGGTGGTTCTTAAGCAAACAATGGTAACAAAGTGCCAGCCGTGTGCGTCAGCGAGAGCCGAAACCCTAAACCTAGACCCTATACCCTAAACCCTAACCTTTTGCTTGTATGTACAAAGTGCACATTCAAGTTTGTGATCATGGCCCCCCGTAGCTTGCTTTTACTTCACGGGCACATCCTGAAATGACGTGGTCTGTGGACAACTCTGCCTGGGAGGGAGGGGGGAGTGAGTACAAACCCGAAACCCTACACCCTCAACCCTACACCCTAAACCCTAAACCCTAAACCCTAAACCAAGTCTATCCAACTTTGAACGCCCTAAGCAGGCTCGGGGTTGATTGAGGTTCTTAAGTCGGATGCAGTGTGGCAGCCTCCAAGCCCTAAACCCCCAAACCGGGTGCGGGTAGACCCGACATCCTCATTCTAGTTCCTTTACTTGTGTGCATCGAACTTTATGGGTGGAAAAAAATATCAGCAGAGAATTAAGCACTCCAGGACAGACAGTAGAATAAGAGGTCCAAGTATGTTTTGATAACTCTACAACCCCTAAACTGGCCCTAAACCCTAAACCCTATCCCCGAAAGGAATTTATTCTTGCCGTTCCCCGCTCGACCATGAGCCAAGGTCTAGCCTGGGCGCATGCGCTGCGAGTGCTGACGGAATCTGCACGTCTTCTGGCAGCTTGAGGGGCGGGCTTAGGGTTTAGGGTTTAGGACTTAGGGCTTAGGGCTTAAGGGGCTCAGGATACTGTTGAGAGGAGCTGATAGGCAACACCCATGCAGTTGCAGCTCATCCATCTTGCTTCTTCCGCCCAACCCTAAACCCTAAATCCTAAACCCTAAACCCTAAAGACCCTAAATCCTAAGCCCCAAAAACCCTAAACCACAAGGACGCCAAGTGAACTGCTTCAGGCGAGGAGGTCATGGACATGGACACTTGTAGCCTGGCCGTCACTGCGTGCCGCTCCGCCGCACGCAGGTCTGGTTCAGGAGGTTCCCTAAACCCTAAACTTACCCTAAACCCTAAACTTACTCTAAACCCTAAACCCTAAACTTATCCTAAACCCTAAACTTACCCACAACCCTAAACCCTAGTGCTTTCAGGTGCCCTTTTTTCTCTTCTGTAGTCTGACTATGCGTGTGCATCTGGATCTGTGTACGTATGTACGCAAGTATGTAAGGGAAGGGAAGAGAAGGGAAGGTAAGGTAAGGCGAAATAAGGTATGTATATGTGTTGTTAGTGTGCATGGGTGTATAGACAGATAAAAGGCTAGGGTATAGTGTAGCTGCGCGTTTGGGGTGTACTGTTGTATGGTTTCAGGGGTATCCGAGAGCTCCTGAACTTGTAAGCTTTAAACCCTAAACCCGTAACCCTAAACCCTAAACCCTCAAACCCTAAACCCCAAACCCCAAAACCTCCCTCAAGGCGAGCAGGCAAGGAGCCACGGGGGTCGAGCTCCGCAGCTCCTAACCATGGCGCAGCTGCGGTCCGTGGCTGCCCTCAAGGCCGGAGGCTCTACTTGAAGGTTGGTTCGGGTGCTTATAAGTCCCCTAAAGAAGGTTTTAGGTTCATTCGGGTGCTTATAAGTAGGCTTAGAAGTCCCCTAGATAAGGGCTATAGCCATAGTTAATTACTCTACTTATATCCCGACTTAGAAGTAGCCACGAACCTCCGAGTAAGGGGATTTCGCACCTCAAAGCCTTTACCCAATGGCTCCAATACCCCTTAATTAAGGAATATTCCTTAAACCATATAAGGAACCCCTCTGATACTTGAAGGAATATTCCTCAAGGGGTATTGGAGTCTCTGGGAACTCCTAAGCCCTAAACCTTAAACCTTCAAGCCTTAACTCTTTAAGCCTCAAAAAAGCCTAGGCCCTTCAACCCTTAAACCTTTGAAGCCTAAAAACACAACCCCTAAACCCTAGACCCTGAGCCAAACGACGCCGTAAACGCCGAACATCCGGTGGCGGACAGGGCCCCGAAGCGGCAGCTGCTGATTTAATGGACCAGTTCTAAGGTTTTGGGTTTACGCTTTAGGGTTTCGGGCCCCCCTGAAATGGTCAGAAAGCCCACTGGCCGACAACCACACAGGCTCCGGTTGTTCTTCGCCGAGTAGTCCGCTGCAAGGCGTCCTGAAACCCTGGGTAAGCTTGTCCCTGAACCCTAGACCCTAAATCCTGACACCCTAAACGAAACAAGGGTGTAGGGTTTGGGGTTTCGGGGATAGGGTCTCAATATCTAAGGCAAGCACACTTCTTCTCGGTAAGGGTACACAGGTTCTTCAAACCTAAACGCCAACACCCTGGTGAATGAACTTGTTTTGCCGGCAGGCCCCCTGGAGGCCCCCTGAAGGCGGGCCTGACTTTCCGTGCCTGGCTAGGGAGCTCAAAGTATATGTAAGATGAAAGTTGCCAGTTGTTTGAGCTGATTAGGAGCTTCAACCCCAAAGCGACAAGCCTTGCCTCAGCAGCTACTCGCACCGGCATGGCGCCCTCGACCTTGCCGTGTCACATTTGTTTTCGGCGGTTTCTCACTAGTCGGCGGCAAGCCCGAAACCCAAAACCTAAGCCCCCTTTGAAGGGAACCCCCGCTGTGGGATGTTTTTGTTCTTGAACCATGAAGAACCCTCAGTCCTAAAACCGCTCAGTCCCGAAATTGCATGACGGGGTTTGGGTCTGGCCATGATTCGTGGCCCGCGGCCTTTGGATCGAGCCATGCACGAAGGAACTGGAGCCCAGGAAAGTCCATGAGGACTTGGCTATCTGCACTCTACACCTTCCCCAATCAAAGAATAGTACCGTTAAAACATCAACAAATCTCACCCTTTCAACAGAATGATTTATGCAATCATTTGGGCACATTGTACCCGGCAGTATACCCGGAGAGGGCAAGACAAGAAGCCCTTGAATCTGAAGAAGAGTTTGACTCCCACGCTTTTCTGCAACCTTGAGCCCCAAATCTCTTGAAAATCCTTATGACGGCATGGCGGTCGCCACAGAAGAGGCTCCGGATTTTGGCCCCTCCCCCACTAAATACCCTAGGAGACAAGCAGTCTCACGACTTTTTAACTTGAAGGGTGGCTACATGGTGCCTTGTTATGGTCCCTTACCCCCTTTAAAGGGTTCCGAATGAAGTATGGGCCCCCAAGGAAAGGGCCCATACGAAGAGACACGCAACTACCCCAAGACTCATTCCCAAGAGCAAAGGGGCGAAGGTTCTGGGGGGTTGCTCTGAACAATTCTAGGGCTTCTTAAACTTTCAGGGGCTATGGATTGGGATGTTCCTTATTGTAGCAGTCCTTAAGAGGGATTCTAGCACATTCCTTATGAAGGACTGTTAGTATAAGGGGGAACATCCCAAGGTATCTGGCAGTAGAGACCAAAAACCTTAAAAAAACTCGGCCCAAAGAAAGCACGATGGCCAGTTCTCCAAGAAAACCGAGCCATAAACACGGACGCCCGGGCACGCTGCATCGACAGTTCAGAGCCCCCAAACACCCCCCTCCCCCAACACCACCCCAGGGTCCTTCGTTCGGGGGTAGGGGAATTTAGGAAGTTTCGGGCTTGCAGGGTCTAGGGTCTACAGGGTTTAGGGTTCAGGATTTCGGGCTCCGTTTCAGATTTCCAGGGCTCCGTTTCAGATTTCCAGCTTTTCCTCGCCTGCCAGGATAAGGCTGCAGCAGCCGATGTCCTGCGCGACTGCTTCGGGAAGGAGGGCAAGCGAGTTGCTTCCGTTGGTTCATCACAGGGCCATTAGGATTAAGGGCTTCTTAGGGGCTTCTTAGGGTTTTAGGGCTTCTTCGGGCTTCGGGCAGCTGCTTCTTACTTAGACGTCCTGTGTTTTGCTGGCTCTTAGTAGAGAGTTCGGAAGTCTGGGCCTTTTGTAGCCCGCTTTACGAAAGGATATCCTCCCCCCCCCCCAAGCTCCGCTTCTCGAAGAATTTCTTTCGTGACTTCCGTTCTGAGCTTTCTGCTTTGGACTACAACGTCCAAGAACTCTAGCCCGTTTGGGGCTTAGAGGGTTTCCCCCCCCCCCCGCCCCGCCCGCCCCCCCCACTGCCCACTCCTTGAAAGGATGGCAACTTCACAGTGATCGTGGTGGAAGCCCCTTGGCTCCAAACCGAGCCCCTAAAGCCTAGCTATTTTATAAGGCCCACAAATCCTATCGACCAGTTCAGCCCTCCTGAACACCTAAAACCCTTTTGAAGCTCTGGAAGTTCTAGAAATAGAAGCCCCAGAAGATCCCATTTCATAAGCCCCACCGAATCCCAACACCACTCGTGATGCCAACCCCTCTCAGCGACCGGGGGTGTGCATGGATGTTCCTGGCTTGGGGCGTTCTTAATTTGGTCGATAGGCCCCTGGGGCGGCGTTCTTAATTTGGTCGATAGGCCTCCAAACCCTGAAACTACAAAGCCCTCATAAGCCCTAGCCCTTAATTCCACCCAAAGCACGATAAAGCCCCCAACACTAAACCCCTTCGGGGGTCGGGAGTAGAGGTTTGAGGACTTTTTACCCGGGCCCGTAAGGAGCTCCTTGCCGATGGAAACCGCTTGGCGTCGGAAGTGAAGCGGGTGGAGTTCAAGGCCATCGTAGCGGAAGCCCAAATGGGGCTTCCGAAATTAGGGGCACCTTCTTGGGGCCCTCACTCTAAGGGGATTCCATTTTGGGGGGTTTATGTTCGCGGGCCGTTCTGATCGTCAACCCCTAAACTTGGTGAGTTGAGAAGTTCTACTGTGTTGGGGGTGGGGGTGGGGGGCCTAATGTTTAATTAGGATTTTGGGCTTTGCAGCAGGGTTTAGGGCCTAGGGCTTAGGGTTTATAGGGCTTAGGGTTCTTTGGAGGTAAGGGGTTGTGGGAGGGGAGGGGGGTCTCGTTTACTCAGCGTGAGCCTGGCCAGCGCCAAGCTTGGGGCTACAAGTGCGCAGCTGCGCTGCTCATAGCTTGAAACCTTACGAGACCCATGTGTGGGAAGCTGTTCGTTTAGGATTTAAGGTTCAGGGTTTAGGGTTTAGGGGTTAGGGGGTTAAGGTTTAGGTTTAGGGCTTGAGGGGTTACAAGGTTCAGCACATGAAGCCCTAAACCCGAAGCCAGGTGTGGCGGAGCCTGTTGGCCAGTCACTCGGTCAAGTCTCAACCCTGAAGCGGCCCCTCACAAGTTTAGGGTTTAGGGGGTTTAGGGTTTAGGGTGTAGGGTTTTGGGTTTAGGTTTTAGGGTTTAGGGTTCCTATTGTTAGGGTTTAGGGGTTAAGGGAGCTTGGGGGTTGGGGTATCCCAGACATCCTGAATCCCCACTTGTCACGCCCAAAAAATGCTCAATTCAGGGGTGCAGGGATCCTCTCGTGGTGGAACTGCAGGTCCTCCGCCTGAATAGGCGTTGGGGTGCCGAGTTGTACTATTCCACGTTGATGATCTCACACAGTAGTTCTCCGGGGTACCCTTGTATAAAAGTCTAATGCCAACACGGACACCCCGTGTTTCCCCTGGGCTACTGGGGAGATCCTAAACCCTTTACCCCTTCTAACCCTTTATCCCTTGAACCCTTTAACCCTTTCGAACGGGTGCGTCACGAAGCACTTAGCGGATGCCCCCTCAACCTGCTTAGGATGGTCACCGGTCTTCGACAAGATGGTCAGTTCCGAGATGTTTACGGAAGCCTCGCAGGCAACTCTGATCCTTTGCAGGGTGTGCGGCTTAGGGTTTAGGGGTTTAGGGTGTAGAGGGTTGAGGGGTTGAGGGGTTGAGGGGTTTCGTATTTAGGGGCTCAGGGGCTTAGGGGTTCAGGGGCTTGGGGGCCAGGGTTTACTGTAGGTCTTACAGGGACTCTAGTTGCGATGTACCTGGATCCTTGAAGCCTGTTTGGGTTGCGTAAACCCTAAGGGCTTGTGGAGTCGAGTGTTCGGGGATAGATTTCGGGCTGAGGGGCCGGCTTCCAGGGCTTTGAGTTTCGGATTTGGGTTTGTTTGGTACAGGGTTTAGGGGTTGGGGTTTAGGGTTTAGGGTCTAGGGTCTAGGGTTTTGGGTTCTTTTTTAAGGCTTGCGCTTTGCCTAGCGGTTGTTCGAGATCTGGATCACTGGCCTCCCCCCCATGCGGCAGGCACAAGGTGTTGTTCAGAAGCCCTTGACTCGCCCACCCCAGAGAGACCCAAAAGGCTTGGGATGTTTCCCCTTATACAAACGGACCTTAATGGGTATTCCAATAAGGGTACTATAATCCCTGTCAAGGGCAGCAGTATAAGGGGGAACATCCCAACAATAGGCGCCTATATGAGGTCGAAGTATCCCGTGTCAGTTCCGATGACATCCTAGGGATCTGAACTCTAAACCTCAAACCCTAAACTGAAAGAAATACCAGAATGGGCAGTCGAATCTGCCAGCTGTGTCGTCGCCTCGAAACATTCGCCCTGCGCATGGACAAAAACATGCCTGGATCCCGCTAACCTACAGTCCTCGACAAGTGCAGCATGAGAAGTGCAGTTTTGTTCCCCGGGGCCGGCATTCGTTGTGAAGATTCCACTGTGCCCTGGCCATGAGGCGCAAGTGGTCATTGAAGACTTCTCCACGCCCGCAGTGGAAATCTTCCTCCGCTTCCTCTACTCTGGGGTCGTGGATCCTCAGAAGCAGCCTTTTGTTGCGGAGGTTCGCTCAAGCTACGAAGCTGCAGCCTTAAAAGCCGAAAGCCCTAACCTGATGTGTTTGTGGCGTTTTTGACTGCTTTGCAACGATCGACTGGTGGTCTAAAGGGTCAAATCTCCTGCCTCGGTCAGTCCGGCCCATACGGGTGTCTACAGGGACTCAGAAAAGTTCGGAGTTGAAGCTGCGTGTCGTTCTCGTGAGATGCTGTGGCCAGCCGCTGAACTCGCTTCTTGGGGCTTAGGAGGCACTACGGTCTACACAGTCTCAGACAACATGGAATGTGCCCTTAGTGCCCTTCACTCTACATCCAGTTTTGCCACCTGCTTCCAGGAGGGCCCGCTGACTACACTGGTAGAGGTTGGGAAAATGGCTGACAAGCGCCTTGGCACCTAAGGGGGTCTTGAGGACTTCTGGATGATTCCCTGGTTCACATGGCCCAAGGGTGTTATCAGGGGGCTGGGTTTAGGGTATAGGGTTCAGCATCTCAAGTCCAGTGAGCTCTAAGCCCAAAGCCCAGACCCAGAAGCCCAAGACCCGCAGACCCTAAACCCTACAGCCCAACCCTAGGCCCCAAAACCCTAGGCGTTAAAGCCTGAGCCCTACATAAATTCCTAGGCACTGAACCCTAAGCCTTAAAGGCTAGGCCCTTAGCACTGGGCCCTAAACCCTAGGCGCTTTTGGCCCTTAGTTGCCCGCCCACCAAGAAATAAACACCAAGTGCCCACCAGTGCCATTAGGGCTTAAACGATACATCTGAAAGAGAGGGTTGAGGGTTTAGGGCGCCCATCGTCCCCTGAAGGTATCAAGTTGACCAGCTGCACGCGCTGTGCACGCAAGCGGTCCGCAAGGGCATGAAGCCCGACGCTCTCATGAATTTGTCGCAGCATCATTGTTCAAAAAGGAGCCTACACCCTTAAAAACAAACTGAAAAACCCTTGAACACAAACCCTCCAACTAGACCCCCCTAAGCCCTACACCCCCCAAACAAGCTCCACAAGCGCCATAATTACACGCCTAAGCCCGAACATGCGTCAAACCCCAAACCCCAAACCGCAAACCCCAAAAGCCTAAACCCTATAAACTTTATAAACCCTATAAACCCTAAACCCGAAACCCCTCAGGAAGTGGCCTGCGAGCTCCTTGCCTGTGCAGACCGCCTAGAGGTGGCGCTCCTCGGCCTGAACAAAGCAGTCCCAGGTTTGCCGGAGGGGGAGGGGGGGGGGGGGTTGAGGGTTTAGAGGCTTTAGAGGGTTTATAGGGTTGAGGGGGTTTATAGGGTTTATAGGGTTTCTAGGGTTTCTAGGGTTTCTAGGGCTAAGGATCTTAGGATTTCTTTTGCGGGAGACTGGCATCCACGCATCCCAAAAAGAGGGAAAGGAACCTCCAACAATGAGTTCTTAACTTAGCCCTAAACCCCAAAACAGAAACTAGGAGTCCTGAGAGTTAAACCCCTGAACCTTAAAGGAAACCCTAGCAAGAGGGCCCTACCCCCCCCCCCCACCCCCTGCCCGCCCCTAGACCCTAAACCCTAAGAGACCTTGGAGCCTTAAGCTGTAAACCCTGAACCCTGAAACCCAACTGCTCTGGTTCTGAGAGCCTGATCAATGCAAATCCCGAATCAAGTTCCTGGAGTTGGGCTAGCCCAGTCGTGCCCTTCTGTGTTCCCTGTAGGAAAAGCAGCCGGCCAGCCCGGTACCCTCATTGTAAATTTGACATGGCTACTGTGCTACCAAGTAGAGCTAAACAATTATACTCTACAACCCTAACCCCTTACACTCGACAATCCCGAACACCACCACTCATTCCTAAAACCCAAAACCTAAACCCTAAACTCTCAAATCTAAATCGAGCTCCCCCAAACTCTGGGCCAAACCCGGAGCCCTTAACCCCCGACCTTAACGTCAAAAATCTTGAAACCCCCCAACGCATGAAACCCTCTGCCCAAAACTCGCAAAAACCCTTAACTTACCCTCACGTTTGAACCTCCTAAACCCTAAACCCCTGGCACTACACCCTGACACCTTTAACTCTAAAACCCCTAAGCCCCTAAACCCCTAAGCCCTTAAACAGCACCTGGAGTCCAGGAGCCTGCGACGCGAAGCCTTGGAGCAGATCTGGATCCACCCGAAGGTGCCCGGGATGTAGGGTTTCGGGTGTGGGGTTCAGGGTTTAGGGTTTTTAGGTTTGGGGTTTGGGGGTTTAGAGTTTATGGTCTAGGGTTTAGGTTTAAAGTTTAGGGGTTTGGGAGTTCAGGGGTTTAGTGTTTAGGGTTCAGGGTTTGGGGTTTGGGGTTTAGGGTTTGGGGGGGTTTGGGGTTGTGCGGTTTAGGAGTTCAGGGGTTTGGGGGTTTGGGGTGTAAAGTTTGCGGTTTGGTTTTTTTCCGGTCAGCATAAGAGCTTATTGTTGTAAGTCGATGTAGGGCTTGGGGCAATGTTTGGGCTCCTCCTGTTTGGATGTTGTGGGCTTTTGTTCGCGCTTGGGATTTAGGGATTAGGGTTGTAGGGCTTCAGGGCTTTGGGCTGTGGGGGGGAGGGGGCCACTTCTGGCCCTGGACGATGTTTCCCCACCTCCCCCTCCCCACTCCCTTCCCCTGCCCTCCCCGTGATTCTTGTTGCCCCTCTACAGCCCCTTGTGGTCTGTCTGGTTTGCCCTAAAGCATCTTTGACGGTGGGAATTGCGGGCGGCAGTCCTACACCCCAAAAGGCGATGGTTTGGGTAGTGGCCTGTGAAAGTTCACAGCGGAGGGAGAAAGAAACCTAGCACCAAGGAACACAGATGGCTGAACCTTCGCGACCCCCCCACAACACCTGGTGACCATTTCCACATCGTACTTACTGCCGCTGCGCGGCGAGACGCCCGAAACCCTAAACCTTAAGCCTTTGGGCCTTCAGCCTGTAAACCTTCAGACCCCAAACCTCAAAACCCTACACCCAAGGCCTTCAAACATAAGCCTAAACCCTAAACCCCTACCCCTCCGCCCTAAGCCCAAAACCCCAGATCCCTCTGCAGGCCGCGCTGAAGTCTCGCCCTTCGCTGCGGGCCAAGCTGCTTGAGGAGCGGGTGGCCCCTTTCGAGGTGCAGGGGTGACAGGGTTTGGGGTTTGGGGTTTAGTGTTTAGTGTTGAGGGTTTCGGGTTGCCCTACCTGTATGTGTGGACCTCCCAAACGGGGGAGGGGGGAAATCACCCCTACTCTACGCCCTCCCTCAAAAATACTGGAGTCCATATCATAGGAAGCCGCCAGAAGGGACGCCCTTATTCTAGCTTACCATCCTCTTTTGAGTACCGGTAAAGAGATATAGAGGAACACACCTCTCAACACAACTCAGTCAGTCCGATATGCCTGACTCCAAGAACTTGCTGGGGTTTTCGATGTCATGGATGTACAACTGAGGAGTCCGAACAAACGGTTTAGGGTTTGGGGTTTGGGTTGAGGGTCTTTAGGGTTTAGGATTCCACCCCCCCTCCGCCCGGGTCTGCAGCTCAATTGTTCCCTGGGCTGCGCAGCACCCAAATGTACGCACTTCCGAAGCAGTTGAAACCACCTTGAGTCCCCAAGGTCCTATAAGCCCCAGAATAAGCCCGAAGCATAAATCCCCAACAGAGTCGCTGTGAGCCTTAGGTCTTTAAAGCTAGGGTTTAGGGTTTAGGGTTTTGGGGTTTGGGGTTTGGGGTTTAGGGTTTAGGGTTTAGGTTTCATTTTGCAAACAGTCCCTCGGACGGTCTCGACGAAGCTACAGAATAATTACTAATTGGCAACATCAGCAATTCTGTCTGTGGCATCGCCTTGACATGGCAAAACCCCGCAGAGGAAGGGTACTCGAGTTGGCTAACCCAGCGGAGCCCCGCATAGCAGAACCCTAAACCCCAAACCCTAAACCCTAAACCCTAGACCCTAGACCCTAGACCCTATAACACTGTCGGCCGTGAGATCCGTATGGATCCACTGTACAACCTTCGATGCGTATGGCAGCTTCGGCTGGAATAGCACTGCTAATACTGTACAAGCAAACTTCAGGGCTGGCATGTTCTGGATACTCCAAGGTTTAGGGTTTAGGGCTTAGGGTTTAGGGTTTAGGGACTAGGGTTTAGGGTTTAGGGGTTTCAAGGAGATCTTGGACTCGCCACTGCTCTGCGTGGATGACGACGACTTGGTGTCCATCCTCAACAGCTGGGGCCACGGGAGCCTCGGAAGAGATGTGAACCCAGAACTCTCTTAAGTTTAGGGTTTTAGGGTTTAGGGCTTAGGGCTTAGGGCTTAGGGCTTAGGGCTTAGGGCTTAGGGCTTAGGGCTTAGGGCTTAGGGCTGAGGGCTGAGGGCTGAGGGCTTAGGGCTTAGGGCTTAGGGCTTAGGGCTTAGGGCTTAGGGTTTAGGAGGCTCCCGAACCGGATCCCGAAAAAGGTGATTCAAATTTGTTGCTTCAGACTCCGGGGGTTTCCAAGGAACTCAGGAACTCAAAGAGTTGCTGAAAAGAAAAGCCCCCACTTGAAGTACTTGTGGGTTCTATAAGTGGCCTAAAGAAGCGTTATAACCATAGCTACCCTACTTATAGCCTTTCAACCCTACCTCTAAGTACCCCTGCGCCCCCGAGTTGCTTGCACGTTGAGGAAGAAGCGGAAGGTGGCATCAGAGCAGGACGAGCTACAGCCGATCATCGACAGCCGCACCCTGTCCGGGAAAAAGGGAGGCGAAACTCGCTTTGAGAGGCTGTGAACCTGCACCTTCCAGGGTGTGGGGGTTCAGGGTTTAGGGTTTCATCAGGGCCATATACACCCTTCTGGTAACCACCGCCCCCCCCAGAAATCCAAACTAAGCCCGAAAGGCCTAAACCGGAACTGAGGCGTGGCAGAGCTGCGGGCTCAGAAGCCGCGCAAGAGCCGGCAACACAGCGTAGATGTGCTGCAGACCCTCTGGTGCCTCTATGAGGAGCTTGGTTTAGGGTTTAGGGTTTAGGGGTTAGGGGTGAGGGGTGAGGGGTGAGGGTTTAGGGTTTAGGGTTTAGGGTTTAGGGTTTAGGGTTTAGGGCTCAGGGTTTAGGAGGTTCATGGTACTTGGAGAGTGATAGGTAGGGTAGCTATGGTCGTAACCTCATTTTGGGGTACCTATGACCCTGCGTACAACCCATGCACCAGCCACTACATGGACACTTCTCTACTGACATTCTTAGAAGGCCATCGATGCCAGGTGGCCCAAAAAACGGTAGCTTCGGGAACCTTCGCCAGGAGGATGGGAGCAGAGGCACCTTCCTGGGTTACTGGGTTACCATCATCCCGGGTCAGCTGAAGGGGCCCTTTGCGCATGACGACCTCAGCGCCTTGAGGGACTATGCCAGCAACAGCACTTGCCTGTGCCGCGGCTGAAGCCTCGAAGCCCTTAAAGCAACCGAAACAAGCTCATAATCTGCAATGGGGGCGCGATAGCTGTGGCGTGGGGCTTGTGTGGCTCTCGGCTTGTGCGGAAGGCCCAGGATGCTTTAGTAGCCGCTAGAAGTTCTAGAACGATCAGGTTTCCCCTTCTACCCGGATCATGGTGTCACCAAACCAGGAATGAGCACCCTGAAGGGCCGAAGCCTTACAGGTTCTGAGTAGGAACTCACATGCTGTCCCTGTCATCACTCTTAGTCACCCCATAACCCTACAAATAGCCCCTCGATACTGTCTCTGACATGAACTGGACTCAGTCCCAATGCCCTAAACCTTCTACCCGCAACCCTCAACCCTAATTGAGGTGTCTGGGCAAGGGCTGGCTGATCTGGATGCTGCCGCATTTCTCCGTGTACCTCACGAGCTTCTCCTTCTGCAGTGCCCTGCTTTTTCTGGAGGGCTCTGCGTGTCAAGGCTAGCAGCGTGTTTAACTCTGGGGTGGGGGGGGTTCGGTAGTAAGCTATATACTTTTTCCAGATATGTATGGCGATGGCAGCCAACACGCCCTAATCCCCACACTCGTAACCACCCCAAAACCCCAAATACCCAAATCCCCAAATCCGAAACCCTTAACCCTCAAACCCCAAATATCTCAAAGTACACCCCCAAACCCCCAAAGAGAGAGGCGCAATGTTGGGGAGCGTCCACTTTCAGATCCTGTGCTCCGGCGATGGTTGCAACTGGCATGTGGCGCTGGCTTCAAACAGGGAGGACCAGCTTTCTGCGTCTTAGGGTCTATGGGGCTTCGGGGGGGGGGGGGGGGGGGGGGGGGGTTCTATTGTTTTTGGGTGGTTTCGGGTTGAGAGGTGTATAGGGTTTGCAGGATTTTTGGGGCTTTCAGGGTGGACAGGGCATGCACTTTGGGTCCTACATTCTTCGAACAGTATTTTTTCCACGGTGGGGGGTTGGGCAGTTTAGGGGTTTACTGGGGTCTAGGTACATGGGGCTTGAGGGCCGGAGGGTATATCAATGCAAGTTGAGGGTCCATCCTTTCAGGTCGCGCTCCTTTGAACATTAAGAAGCGCAAATAAACCCTAAACCCTAAACCCCAAACCCCAAACCCTAAACCCTAAACCGTAAGCACCCCCATGGAAGCCTGGAGGACCTCAAGGCCTGGAAGCCGGTGCCCTGCGAGAAGCCCCCGAGCCTTTGACCAAACCAGTGTAATAAACCCATGGATAATTGTGTTGAGGGTTTAGGGTAAAGGGTATAGGGTTTAGGGGTTTAGGGGTTTAGGGGTTCAGGGGTTAGGGATTTAGGGGTTTGGGGGTTAAGGGGTTTAGGGGTTTAGGGGTTTAGGGGTTTGGGGTTTAGGGATTTAGGGGTTAGGGGTTTGGTTGGGGTTAGGGCTCTAGGCTTAGGGGTTTAGAGGTTTGGGGTTAGGGGTTTAGGCGTTTAGGGCAAGTTAGGGTTTAGGGGTTCGGGGGTCTGGGGTTTAGGGGCTTTGGGGTCTAGGCTTTAGGGGGTGGGATCAAGGGTTTCGGGTTTGGGGGCTTGGGGTTTGGGGGTTTAGGGTTTGTAGGGTTGTGGGAAGTTTTTAGTGGTGAGAGAGTTCATGGGGTTTGTGGAGTTCTGGCGTTTAGGGCCTAGGCTCCGATTTAGGGGATTGAGGTTTGAGCTCTGACCGCTCAGGGTTGAGGGTTTGGGGTGTTTGAGTTTAAAGCTTGAGAATACTGTAAGGCACATAAGCCTCGAAACCCTAAACTACCTAAAACCATAGAAGCCTCCCTTGGCCCTCCCTAAACCCTACACAGAAAGCCAGCTCTCCCTGTTTGAGGCTTGGATTTCAGGGGGTCTTAGGGTATGTCAGATGTGGATGATGTTGTAAAGCCAATCAAACGCATCAGTCGTCAAAAGATTTTTGAGAAGTTAGAACTCATTGAGAATTAGATTGATGAATCATTGACTAAACCTAAACCATTTATATAACTAGCCAATGGGCAAGGATAGTTACTTTACGTATGGACCTGACGGTCTTACTCCCGATGAATGTCGGGGTTGTCGGGGTGGAGGGCTGTAGGGACCAACCGCGGAAAGCTTCCTGAGACCTGAGAAGCCCGAACATCCCTACAACCCCCCCCCACCCCCCGTCCCCCAAAAAAAAAACAAAAAAAACATCCTAAACCCAAAAGGCCCAAAACCCTACTCTACAACCCCGAGAGCCCTGAGAAGCTGAGGAACCTTGTGAAGTGGTTCAAGTTGGAGGTCCTGGAGCCCTGGGAGCAAGAAAGCGTCGGTGCTCAGGGTTTAGAGCTGGTAGGGTTCAGGGTTTAGGGTTCAGGGTTCAGGGTTTGTGGTTTAGGGTTCAGGATTTAGGGTTTTAGGGTTTAGGGTTCAGGGTTTAGGGTTTAGACCTCTTCTTCTTTTTGGTTTAAGAGACACTCGACTTTTGCCTCTTGTTGGGCTAAGGGCTTGCCGATTTTGTGTCGTGTCTATTCGTAACTACATAGTCTGAATACAGTGCCTTACTTCTCTTAAAAGAGTTCTGAAGTATGGGCCCTTGGGTCGTAAAGTGCGTATATGAAGGGAGGGGAGGGAATGTAAGGGCGCCCAAATTTATGGCCTCAGACTAAGAGCGTTGACAACTGCCCTGAGATAGGGTTGCTGAGAACTCTAACCCCTAAGCCCAAAACCCTAAACCCCAAACCTTTAACGTTACATTAGGTTCTTTGGAGTTTTCCGGGCTTTGGTTTGGCTCCTAGGTTCTTAGGGTTTGGGGACATGGGTTAAGCTAGGGAACATCCCAGCCTCAAAACCGGAGCCTCATGAACCCCTTGACTGTAGTGAAGGCTTATAGTTAAAGCCTAAACCCGAGACAAAAACCTGAACCCCTCAAAGAAGTGATCCGCCATGGTTGCCAGCGTTCCCTTCTTCAGGGCTTAGGCCCTAAACCCCCCTAACCCTAAACCCCAAACCCCACACCCCAAACCCTAAACCCTAAACCCCAAACCCTAAACCCTTCGGGCTTTTGTTTAGGGGTGCCTTCAACCCGAACACCTAAACCCTAGACCCTGAATCACGAGAGAGCCCAAGCCTTGGCAGCGGTGCTTCCACGACTTCAGGCTGCAACCATCACCTGAATCCGCAGAATCACAATCACAAGGTTTAGGGTTTAGGGTTGAGGGTTTAGGGATTAGGGTTTCGGGTTTAGGTTTTAGGTTTAGGGTCTCGGGAGGGTAGGGTAAACCAATGTTCGTTAACATTCCCTAGTTACTCCGGAAGACTCCCTAACCTTCTGCGACGATCCCAGGAACCCCCTCGGAACCCTGCCCCCTCGGACTCCCCTCCCTAAAATGTTTCGGGTCTATGCGGGTTAGGGTTTAGGAATTAGGGTTTAGGGTTTATGGTTTAGGGTTACCTTGGAGTCCCCTCCCTTAAGGATCCTTACGCAAAGGAAGGGGAGTTTAACAACGACTTCTGCATCCACGGCATCCTCCAGGAAGACTGACGGGCTTCTTGTAAAGGGTTTGTAGGGTTTAGGGTTTAGGGTTTAGGGCTCAGGGTTTAGGGTGTAGTCTCTGTTTCTACAGGCTTTCAGGGTTCCCATGTCTTATAGGGTTTTATAGGCTTTTGTAGGTGTTTAGCGTGGGTGTCGCAGGGTTTCTAGGGCTTTGCGGGGTTTTATTAGGGCTGATAGGGTTTAGGCCGTATGGCTTGCTCCAAGGGGGGAAGTGCGCTCTCTGCATCGCCTTTTCGGCTGTCTATACCACCCTGAACAACAAGGAATCTAGGTGAGACAAAGGGGCCAAACTACAAGAGTTGTACTACAAGAGTTGTACTACAATAGACCACCGAAAGGGAGACGCCAGAATTGAGCTCAGCCCCCCAAGTGGGTCGGGCACGGACGAGCCTGCACATTTGATGCTTGGCCGCTGCCCTGTACAAAAGTCCGGCAAACAGGGGCAAAGGAACCCCGTTCGGAAAAGGAAGCAGATTGCAACAAGGAGTGCGCAGTTGTGCTCTCAGCAGGGATAGACATGCCAGAATCTATCCGCTCCTGTGATATCATGAGGAGTTTGTTGCACCATGACAGATGCAAGCTCGCATGTAAGCTACAGTCCTATGCTCATGTAATCCTAGCAGGCGTAAGTACAGGTGCCTAGAGGAAGCGACTACCCGAAACGCTAAGCCAAAAGCTCTACTTAGCTGGGCCCTATCATGTTAAGCCGCGTCCCTATCATGAAACTACTACGCCTTCATTCATACCATGCCGTAGGAGTATGTTTTAGGGCCACAAGCCGTCAAGAAGATGGGGTATTACACGGGTTTACGATTGGGGCACTCTTGCCACTGAGCTCATCGAGCTAACGAGAATTGAACCCAATCCCAGCCCGTCCTCGTAGCGCGACCAGAGCAACCCATGCATGTCATGAAATGTAGGCTGAGCTGCTTGTACAACCTGAGTGACGCGCCGGCTGCCCAGATCTCGATGTGCGGCGACTTGAGCGGATTTGGTGGATGAGAGACTTTGATTCGGCTTTGAGGCTATATGTCTTCCATTGTTTCGGTGCATGTTCATCTGCAGGACGTGTAGCACTTGCCTTGCTTGGCGCACTCGACTGGCCAGCTTCCCCAAAAGCCTGCAGAGCCACGCTGCGGTACTGTCCCTGGACGCTGCAGCGTGGTAGGTTTTGAGGCTTCATCCACGCTACAGTCATGCGATAGTGCTTCGAAAAGGTTCGGCTTAAAGGTGTCCGTCTTTCGATGCTCCAAGGTGCTTGAGACTGTTTCACCCCGTTGAATCAAGAGCTTCGCAAGTCTTTCTTTGACCGCCCCAAAACTCGAAGCACCCCCTGAAGCCCAAATTCCTAAAGGCATGCGATGTCATCTGCAAAGAGACTCCAACTGCCACCTGGACCTGGGGCTCCTTGGCAGTACCTGTGGTTTAGGGTTTAGGGTTAAGGGGTACAGCATTTTTTTGGTGGTAGTCTCGAAATCATTGCAAATACATCGCTTTGAGGGGTTCTCTTTCTCCCAGGTGCCGAGAGGGAAGGTTCACCCCCAAAGGCAGCACATGAACAGGTCGGGACTTTCGCAATGAACTGTCGCTCCATACAAGTTACTCCCAAAGATCGAAGAAAAGGCGGAGAGATTCAGAAATTTAGGGGGGATTGGAAGTGAAGGAGTGGGTCGTGGGAACCTCTCATGTCTCCGGCCTAGGCGAAGTACTGTACTTGTTGTTGCGTGGTTTGGGTCCACTGGGCCACGTCGCCAGAGGATTCGGATGAATTGAGAGCGCTTCAAAGCTGCTCGCCTGCGGCACTCCCGCAGGCGATTGGCCCAATGCCCTAAGCACAGGCGAACTTATGGGTCCTATTCCGAGGCCATTCCCCAGATCGTCTCCAGATCCCTTCCTGCGGCAGTGGGGAATGTTTCCAGAAGCCTCAAGAATTATCGACATGAAGCCCCCTCATCTCCCCCTTTCGAAAAACGGGAGAAAATACCCAAGATGCCCATTCAGCTTAAATGTGAGTGTCTTGTCTTAAACCAAAGGATCCAGCGAACACTTTGGCCCCCACAGTCGCCCAGCATCTGCTGTCAAAAGGGGGGGGGGTCCTTTGGTGTACCCTCCCTCCCTTAGCGAAGAAATCTGCACCCCGGTTCCGAAGCTCCTTTTTTTTTGTCTTTGTCTGGCGATCCAAGTCCATATTGGACGTAGCCCAAAACTCATGCATTAAATTCAGGTTTGAAGCAGTTTGCACTCAAGGAAGCCCTCACGCCTGTAACACGAGGAACCCATCCCTGGAGCAGAAATCTGCGTGACCCAGCCTATGCACAAAAAGGCAAACTGGTACAGCAGCGTCGCGCAAGCTCTATGAGCAGCAAAGCGCCAAAACTATTCATGTGGAGACAGGAGAGGGACCCTCCGAAAGTGTGACAACAAGCGCTGGCCCATGAACGACCACGAAGCCAGCAACATATCTACAGGACAACAGGGAGGGCTGATCATCAGATTTCCCTGCGGTCCAGCTTTGAGCATTCCTCCAGGGGCTGGGAGAGGCAAGAACAAAGCTAACACGCCCCACACTTCAAAAGATCTGTGCCCGCTCAAACATTCCCAAATGTGCAGTGACAACGTGTACACAATCGAAAAACGAAGAGCCAAAGCCCGTCATGTCACATCTTTCAGGAGGGGCCGCGCAGGCCAACCAGGGTGATGGTTTTCTGGCCAGGGTCGCCACGAAGGTCTGCGTGCCGTCAAGCAGGGCGAGCATCATGTGGAGCGTGAACCGCTTATGGTCTGAAAGCGAGCGGCGATCCTCCAATTGCCCACCTGGGTAGATGAGGCGCGGCTTTTCCGGTGGGACGCCCGTCTTATCCGGGATCTGCGCCTTCGCATTGCCAAACGCTTTGGAAGCCTCAACAACCAGCGTGATGGTCTTGCTGGTCAGGGTCGTCACGAAGGTCTGCATGCTACCAAGCAGGGGGAGCATCACGTAGAGCATGAACTCCTTGTCGTCCGACTGCTCGCTTGCAAAGATGAGGCGCCACTGAATGAGTGATATGTTCGCTGCGCCCTGGGTCGTCGCCTTCATGTGGGCGGAGACGGTCGTGTCGGCCAGCGTCTTCTCGAAGCACTGCGTGCCACCGCGTAGGTGTAGCACCAGGTGGAGCACTGAATCGTGGTCTGCGCAGCCGTCCTCCAACTGCATTCTCGCAAGGATGAAGTGCTGGATGTACACCGTGTCCTGGGTCGTCGCCTTCATGTTGGTCATGTCGGCCAGCGTCTTCTCGAAGCACTGCGTGCCACCGCGTAGGTGTAGCACCAGGTGGAGCACTGAATCATGGTCTGAAATCGCGCAGCCATCCTCCAACTGCATTCTTGCAAGGATGAAGTGCTGGATGTACACCGTGTCCTGGGTCGTCGCCTTCATGTTGGTCATGTCGGCCAGCGTCTTCTCGAAGCACTGCGTGCCACCGCATAGGTGTAGCACCAGGTGGAGCACTGAATCGTGCTCTGAAATCGCGCAGCCGTCCTCCAACTGCATTCTTGCAAGGATGAAGTGCTGGATGTACACCGTGTCCTGGGTCGTCGCCTTCATGTTGGTCATGTCGGCCAGCGTCTTCTCGAAGCACTGCGTGCCACCGCATGGGTGTAGCACCAGGTGGAGCATTGAATCGTGGTCTGAAATCGCGCAGCCGTCCTCCAACTGCATTCTTGCAAGGATGAAATGCTGGATGTACACCGTGTCCTGGGTCGTCGCCTTCATGTTGGTCATGTCGGCCAGCGTCTTCTCGAAGCACTGCGTGCCACCGCATAGGTGTAGCACCAGGTGGAGCACTGAATCGTGGTCTGCGCAGCCGTCCTCCAACTGCATTCTTGCAAGGATGAAGTGCTGGATGTACACCGTGTCCTGGGTCGTCGCCTTCATGTTGGTCATGTCGGCCAGCGTCTTCTCGAAGCACTGCGTGCCACCGCATAGGTGTAGCACCAGGTGGAGCACTGAATCGTGCTCTGAAATCGCGCAGCCGTCCTCCAACTGCATTCTTGCAAGGATGAAGTGCTGGATGTACACCATGTCCTGGGTCGTCGCCTTCATGTTGGTCATGTCGGCCAGCGTCTTCTCGAAGCACTGCGTGCCACCGCATAGGTGTAGCGCCAGAGAAAGCATGGGCTCCTGCTGGACGTCGTAGCCTGAAAATGCGTTGCCATCCTCCCATTGCTCGCATGCACAGATGAGGCTCTGATGATTGGTTGAGACGCCGTCCTTTTCCTGTACGTTGTCAATCGCTGCCGAAACCTGAACAGTGAAGGTGCGGGTCCTGCTGAGGAAGATCCGCTCTGGGCACTCCCATTCCTGGCGGCAGAAAAGCAACTTTTCCTCATCATCAGGCGACATGCAAGCGCAATGTTTGTCTGATGCATGGCACTCCATCTTGCCGTAGCTCAAGATGCTGGAGCGCACTCCTTGCATGCCTGCAAATCCTTAATCGCTACGCATGCAATCATCTGGCTCGTGACGTGCCCACATTTCCCATTCGAGCTATCTGCAACAAGGGGCACTGGGGCGCTACGAAAATCCTACCAGCCTCGCTGGTGAGGCGATTCGGGCCCTCCGAAGCTCCTGGTGAATACTTTTTAGGGTTTAGGGTTTAGGGTTCTATAGGGTTTAGGGTTTAGGGCGCTCCCCAGGCTTTCTTAGGTTCAGAGACCTAGTCGGTCTGGTGTTGATGGTTTGGGGTTAAGAGTCAGCTGCTGGCTAAAGTCGATTCCTACATGGAAACTACACCCGAAGCAGCAGGAAATCTGATCAAACCGACCCTAAGCCACTGAAAAAAGGGTACTCTTATGAAAGAGTTCCTGGCGGCCCTAGAAACCCGAGGCTCTGGATGGGCATACGATGGCTTCAGAGGTCCCAACGACCGATGTCTGTTTGTGTTTTGTTTGCGTGGAGGTGCGCGACCTGGGCTTGTAGGAAGTTTAGTGCTTCGGGCTTTCTGGCAGGGATCCTGATGGTAGTCCTGTTTCGTGTGGGAGTTTGTGGGAGTTTGTGGGAGTTTGTGGGAGTGTGAGGCGCATGCCTTGTCGTGCTGCTTCACGCATTTGGATCAGTCTGGTACGAGTTCAGGACGCAGGCTATCTGAGTTCCAGGCCATGTTTTTGTAGGTCACCTGCGAAGGACGCCAGACGGCTTAGGGTTGAGAGTTGATATGGTTGATAACCCTAAACCCTAACCGTTAGCCCTAAGCCCTAAACCCTTATAGGGGTCAGGGCTTGAGGCTCCTGCAGTGCTGTAGCTGACAGCGCCATGAACCTGATCGTTCGAGATGATCCGGCTTCTCTGCCTGCTGTGTTGCAAGCTTGCTTTGGGAAGGATGGCAACTTTACCATCATCGTGGAGGAGCCACGCGGAGAGGACACTTACAGTTCGGCAGGCCCTGCAGGCTCGGTGAAGCGCACGGAGTTCAAGGTCTGGGCCTCCCTCCTTGCGCAGCAGTCACCGGTTCTTGGGGCCCTGGTCTACTCTGACAATTTCGAGGAAAGTCGGAAGGCGCAAGTGGTCATCCGGGACTTCTCCGCTGGCGCCGTAGAGAGGTTCTTGCAGTTCTTGTACTCTGGAGTTGTGGAAGGCTCTCCTGGCATGCTGGTGGAAGTAGCTGCCTTAGCAGACAAGTACCAGACGAAGAAGCTGCACTCGCTCTGCATGCAAGCCATCTGCGGGAAAGCACTCCAGCCCGAGATGGCCTGCGAGATCTTTGTTTCCGCGGGCCATTTTGGGCTGCCTGACTTGCGCATGGAGGCCTTTGAGCAGATCCTGATCTATCCCGAAAAGGCCTTGAAGGCACGCCCGGCACTCTCACCGGAGCTCTTAGAGGAGATCCTGCAGTCGGCTTATCTCTGCGTAGAGGACAAGAGCCTTCGAGCTCTCCTCCGAGATTGGGGCAAGTCGGGAAGCGACTCCTTGCAGCCCATCATCGAAGCTCAAATCCACCGAACACACGTTCGCAACCCTGCGGCTTTCTGCATGCACGTGCTGGGCAGCCTCTGGGATCGCTATAATGAGACTGGAAAGAAGGGTGCCTTTCTTTGCTACTGGGTGCTGGTGAGCCTTGGACCCCGCCAAGCGCAGATCATCTCCAGTGATGCGAAAGAGTTGCTGGACTTGGCTCGGGGCGACTGGAAGCGTGAGTTTTCAACAGGTTGGCTGCAGTGGCAGCTTCCCTACTCGCACGTTTACCTGATGGGCTTCTGCTTCGTCAACGACATTCCAGCAACGACGTCGTTTCGAATCTGGTGCTCCAGCGACGGAGCATCATGGCACCAGGCCTATGAGTCTGAAGGAAAGCAGATCAATGCGAACAGCTTCCTGGCTTGTAGCGGAGGATCCCGTGGTCGGGTGAAGTGGTTCAGGCTCGAAGTCCTCAAAGGCGTTCTCTCCAATAACCAAGGTCTCTATGACTCTGGCTCTGGCTTCCGTATCCGTGGTATCTTGCAAGACGAGTGACCCATAAGGTCTTGCTCAACCACCTCAGCTATCCTTTCATGATCGCTACGCCCTCTTCGGTGCGGGAGAAAAAGTCTGCCACCCGGATCGATTCTGTACTCTGCGTGCTCGAGACTTCGTTTTTCTTCCTATTGGTAAGAGCACGTAAGACCCCCTCCAGGCCTCTAGGGCTTAGGGTTTCCAGGGTTTCGGGTTTACAGGCTTCACGGGGCTTACATGGATTTCAGGGTGTAGAAGGTTCACAGGGTTGAGGGTTTTAAGGATTAACAAGGGTTTTAGCGCTGGTTGCGGCTGACGAACACATGGCAGTCAGACAGTAGCGGGTTTTGAACGACAAACGCAGGTTTGTATGTACGTGAGTGGTTTTTAAGAAACATATTGTTGCGCTTCAGGTGTTTTTTGTTTATGCTTTATGTCTTTATGTCGGCATTGCAAGCCTAGAGGGGCAGTCCCACAACACAATCATATGCCTCGAAACTCCACTATAAGCTCTAAACCCAAAAAGCTGAAAACCTTACAGCCAAACCCCTAATCACCCCTCTCCCCCCAAACCTCGAGGGAAGGGGCCGCTCCGAAGCCCTAAGCCCTAAACCCTAAACGTGGGGTGAGAAGTCGGAGGAAGCCTTAGTGCCTTAGTGGCACACACACAGCCGAAAACCCTATGTTGGGGTCTATGGTATTGGGGGTACCTTATTGGGGCCCTTGTTATAAGGGGATCCTACTACTATGTCTATTTTAGGGGTACCCTGTTTTCGTAAACCCCCAAGTCTGCCTTCAACTTATGAGAAAGGTTATCAGGACCTGAATAGGGTTATAAGTTGCCCTACTCCTACTAAGTAACCGTGAACCTCCCAGTGCGACAGGGAAAGCAAGGGGTCGCAAGCTTTTGGGTTTAAAGTTGCCAAAGGTTTTGGGATTGGAAGGTTTTAAGGTCAAAAGGGTGTTTGGGGTCTATAGGGTTTTAGACGTTATCGGAGCTTTGGCGTTCGGCGCTTTTCCTCCAAGTTCTGAGAGCCTCCATAACCCGACAAACCCTAAACCATAAATTCAAGAGCCTCCGGCTCAAGTCGCCGACTTTGCAGGAGAACAGGTGCAGGGTTTGGGGTTTGGTTTTGGGTTTTACGGTTCAAACTTTTGGCGTCAACGCCCAGATCTGGTGGGGGGGCGGGGGGGTGGAAAAACAAAGTTTAACCAAGCATGCTCACCCAGGCCCCATGTTCCGAGAAGTCGCACAGTGCGCGTTACGCAAAAGTTGCCCTACCCCCCCCGCGTTTTGGGAGTGTAAGGAGAGGTTTCACCTCTGCAAACCTTTTGGGTTAGGGTTAGGGTTTGTGGGTGTAAGGTTTAGGGTTTAGGGTTCAGAGTTGAGGGTATATCCAGCGCTTGTCGGGCATTCTTCATCTTTTAGTGTTTCTATGTTTATTTGAAAGATGTTTTGGGTCTCGAGTTTGGGGCGCTCGGGTTTGCGGTGCGAGGGTGTTTTGGGGTATCAGAGCCTCCCCATTGTCCCTTCATGGCAGCCAGGGTTCAGGGTCTAGTAGGGTTTTGGGTTGAGGGAGTAGGGTTTAGGGTTGAATTAGGGCTTAGGGTTTAAGGTTTAAGGTTTAGGGCTTAGGGCTTTGGGTTTAGGATTTAAGTTTTAGGGTGCAGGGTTTAGGGTTTGGGGCTTAGGATTGAAGTTAGGGAAGTTTTTGGACATGGCAGATCTAAAGCTTCCAATCCTGAACTTGAATTTTGACAGCCCCACGGCCCTAAGTACCCCAAATCCGATGACCCTAAACCCTAAACCCTAAACCCTGAACCCCAAACCCTAGACCCTAAACCCTAAACCCTAAGCCCTGAAAGAAGCATATGATAGCTTGCTCTGTCTAAAGAAATTTGACAGAGGTGGAATCATCATCCGTGGCCAGCTCAGTGCAGTGTCTTGTGAGCCGCAGGAAAGATACAAGGGTTTTGGGTGTAGGGTTCAGGGTTTAGGGTTTAGGGTTTAGGGTTCAGCATCTGCAGTCCAAGCATTCACTAGTCAAGCCATTTAGCTTGGAAGAATACCCAACAGTCAGAAAATATACAGTTCACTCAATCCATAAACCCTAGGCGCCAGACTTTGGGGCCCAAACACTAGGTCCTCAAACCCTGAAGCCCTAAACCCTATGCCCCACACCCTCGGGCCCACATAACCCTATGCCCCACCTGAACCCTAAACCATAAACCCTAAACCCTAAACCTTAAACGCCAGGGCCCAAAGCCTGGCCCTAAACCCTTTGGCCCAAACCCTAGGGCGAAACGCTACAATGCCCTAGACATCCCCAGACCCTATGCCCCAAACCCTCGGGCCTTAAACCCTAAACCAAGACACTGTGCCCCAAACCCTAGGGCCCTTAACCCTATGTCCCAAGCCCTAGGGCCCTTAACCCTATGCCTTAAACCCGAGGGCCGGAATCCCTATGCCCCAAACCCTAGGACCCAAACTAGGGCGCTGAACCCCATGCCCCAGGCAATTGCAACAACAAGAGCCGGCGACGAACTTTTGACATTTGCCGGCCAACTTTTGTTCATGTGCCCCGGCAAGTGTCAAACTTCGCCCGGCACATGTCAAAAGTTTGATGGCGATTGTTAAGAGTTCGTCGGCAATTGTTTTTTTTTAGCAGTTGCCGGTGAAGTTTTGAGATTTGCCGGCGAACTCTCGAGAGTTTTAATTATTCTGTATGAAAGAGAGGTTCTCATGTATGAAGGAGAGGTTTAGGATTTGGGGTTTTGGGTTTAGCGTGAGAGGGGGGGGGATCAAGGTTTTTAGAGCACCCTAGGTCATAGCTTTGGCAGGATGTAAGGGACCTACGGATACTGGAGACTGCTTGTACATCGCATCATTGCGCTCCTCCTGTAGTTGCGGACGCTTGCAGACTTGAGAGCCCCACCCTACAATCACACGAAGATGAACGTTAAGCCCTGACCCCTGAGCCCATATCCTATGTCACCTGAAGCGCGAAACTTACTCAACCCCTAAACTTGTTCCTATCGCCCGAAGCTCGCAACATTCCGAATGGCCCCCCCAAACCCCCCCCCCCCCCGCCCCCGAAGGGGAGGCGCGTTTTGGGGGGTGTAAGGAAGGTTTGACCTCCGCAAACCCATCCAACACGCCGCCAGGGTCGGCGGACCCTACAAACCCTGAACCCCACAAGCCCTAAACCCGAAATCCTAACCCTGGCACCCGCAACCCTCCCTGAACCCCGAGCGGCCTTCCACTGCTTTGTTGTTCTCCAGTCCCGTCCTGCGAGCCATGTCTCATCTTCGGGGTCTATAGGGTTGAGGGTTTACAGGGTTTTTAGGGTTTATCGGGTTTGTAGAGTTTATAGGTATATATGGACTTTGGGGGTTTATAGAGTTTAAAGGGTCTACCGGGTTTATCGGGTTTATAGTGTTTAGGACGTAGGGACTCTTGAGGTCAGAATTTGGGACGCAGGGGCTCCGGAGGAATGCAAGTCACATCCCGCGCCGCACCCTCGCACTTCCTGGCGCGGCTGCTGCAGCTGCCACGACCTGCCAGCAGCCAAAAGGTGCGCCGACAGGGCTCCTGAGGGGGCTTTAGGGAGGATTTAGGGTTTAGGGTTTAGTGTTCAGGGTTTAGGGTTCAGGGTTTAGAGTTTAGTGTGTTGTCATTTTCTGGGGTGCCATGGGCGAATTCCAGAACTCCTAACACACCAGGACCTCAATAATGGCTCAAACATATGCATCATTTCATGTATTCAGTATTTGTACGTAGGCCTGTTTTGGATTAACACTTCCCTCTATCTTTACTCATACGTACATAACTGTATTTGCGCGCTTGGAAGCTCTCAACTAAAAGCGTTTAAGGTCTACTTGGACATTCATGGGTACTAACAAGTAGGGTTGCAAGTACATGACGATGGTTATAACCTTATTTAGGGTACTTATAACCGTACTTATCAATACGCTAACCCCTAAACCCTAATCCCTAAACCCTGAACCCTGAACCCGAAACCCTAAACCCTAAACCCTACTTTGTGAACCTCCAAGTATGAGCCTGTGGCCACAGGTGGAGGAAGTCTTGGCACCGAAGTTGCAGGACTGGCGAAGGTCCGCCGGAGCCCTCAACAGGGTCTTGAAAACCTGCCGCATGAAGCCGGGGTTTAGGGTTTAGGGTTTAGGGTTTAGGGGGTAGGGTTTAGGGTTTAGGGTTTAGGGTTTAGGGTTTAGGGTTTAGGGCTTCAGGGTTCAGGGTTCAGGGTTTAGTGCACGAATTAGATCTCGGGTCCAAAATCCGGCTGGGGCCTTTGGGAGAGGGGTGGGAGACGTTCCTGTCATGGAAGGGTTCGATAGCTTCCTCAGCTTCTACACTGTAGCGAATGGTAGGGTTTCGGGCGTCATGGGTTGTTGCGAGCGTCTTGAACGGCAAAGGATTCAAACCCTACACCCACTAAACCCCTAAACTAAACCCTAACCCTAAACCCTAAACCCCTAAACCCTCAACACCCGCCGAAATCTCAGGAAAGACCTGAAGAGCCACAAGCGGCCGGATTTGGTCTGCCAGCTGGTGGAGCTGCTCCACAGGGACGGGCGGGTGAGGCCACTTTGTCGGAGGCAGCAGACATTGTTGTGTGCATAGTGGATTTAGGGTTTCGGGTTCAGGAGAATAGGCATTTACTACTTATAGAAGTGCAGCAGTATATATATATATGTATATGTATATAGAGTTGTGAATGTAGTCCATTATTTCTGCTCAATTGTGAATAGCGTCATTCATTTTCTCATCAGCTGCTTACTTGTAAGCATGCGCATATCTATACATATTAGAAAGATATTTACTTTGTTATCATCTCTAACCTAAACCCTAAACCTCAACCCGAAACCCTGGCACAGAGACAAGGATGGGGCTGGCGCAGTATTCCTCAGGGCTGAGTGCCTGTGCCAGAGCCAAGCAGTGGCAGCTGGCCCTGTACTTCTTCTTCCATGCCATGCCAGAAGGTCACGTGGACCCTGATACCATCAGCTACAGTGCTACCATCACTTCCCTGGAGAAGGGTGCTCAGTGGCAGCTGGCGCTGCGGCTCTTCGATTCCATGCCGGAGTCTTCTCTCGCGGCGGATGTCATCATCTACAACGCCACCATCAGCTCCTGCGAGAAAGGTGGACACTGGCCACGGGCACTGGATTTGTTCAATGCAATGCCTGAAGCCAAACTCTCCCCCGACGTCATTAGCTACAATGCCACCATCAGCTCCTGCCAGAAAGGGGGACAGTGGCAGCTGGCATTGCATTTGTTCAACGCAATGCCGTGGGCATCCATTGCCGCCAGCATCGTGAGCTACAGCGCTGCCATCAGCTCTTGTGAGACGGGTGCGCAGTGGCCCATGGCCTTACAACTCTTTGACTCCATCCGCGAGGTCCCAAGTGGGTCTTAAAACCTAGCCTACTGAAACATCTTCAGCTCCTCAGAACCCCAAACCTCTCACAGTACAAGAGAAGTTAATATAGTACATATTTATATATGTACATATACATATATATATCTATATATACATATGCATATGTACATATACATATATACATATATATATATATACACTTGCAACCTGTATAAAGGCCCTGAAGCCCCTAGACCCAAGAAGGACCCGCCGTTTTCTTGCTGTCCCCGTGTTGGCAGGCCAAGCTTGTGCCCAACATCGTCAGCTGCTAGGTTTGGTTGGCACTGGTTTAGGGTTTAGGGTTTAGGGTTCAGGGTTTAGGGATGTTCTCCAACCTCCAACATGTTTTCTTGGGGAGGATGAGGGTTTGGTTTGGTGTTTAGGGTTTAAGGTTTAAAGGAGGTTGGGGGGTTAAGAACGAGATGCGGGGGGTTAAGAACGAGATGCAGAAGATATCCTCGTAGGAAGCATTCTGGTCCCACCACCGGGTTTGCCTTGAACAGCAAAAGCCAACCACAGCCAAGCATGCGATGGACATCGGGCCGAGAAGCATCTAAAGGGTCCATGTGCCCAGAAAACCCTAAACCCAAAAACCCAAACCCTAACCCATGTAGTACAGAAACATGAGACCCCCAAGGCTATGGAGCCGTGATCAGCGCTTGTGGGGCAAGTGGGGAATGGCAGTTAGCACTGCGGCTGCTGGGCTCCCTCCATCATGAAGCTTGCTGCGTTTGTTTGGGGGTTTAGGGTGTATAGGGTTTAGGGTTGAGGGGTTTAAAGTTTTGGGTGTTTTTTTTTTTTTTGGGGGGGGGGGGGGGGGGGGGGGGGGGGTGGGGTGGGGAAGTTTTGGGGTTGCGGGGCTTAATCAGGGGTTTGGGAGTTTTGGGCTTTACAGCATTTATCGGGGCATAGGTATAGGGCTGCCGGTTTGTACTTGCCCCAATGGCGGAGAGATGCTTCCTGCACGTCAAAGAATCCACAACTCCAAAAGCCTAAACCAAAACCCCTGCACCATCCTACGCCCGGCCTTAAACCCAAACCCCTAAACCCTTCACCCCCAAACCTAAACCCACCGAAGCCCCAAGCCGCTTCGGAAGCCAAAAGCCCGAAACCCCGAACGGTAAGGACAGCTGTCAGCCCAACGTCATAAGCTACAACGCGGCGATCAGCTCCTTGGATCATTTTTGTGCCGCGAGTTGAGGGCCACTCCAAGCCCACCTGTCCGATAACACGACGTAAACTTGTAACCCTAAACCCTAAACCCTAAACCCCAAACCCCAAACCCTAAACCCTAAACCCTAAACCCTAAACCCTAAACCCTAAACCCTAAACCCTAAACCCTAAACCCTAAACCCTAAACCCTAAACCCTAAACCCTAAACCCTAAACCCTGAACCCCAACACCTCTCTAAAAGCCCTCAAAACCCGAGGCTCCTGCGAGAAGGTTGGGGCCTGGCAGTGGGCGTTGCAGCTCTTCAGCGCCATGCCACAGGCGAAGCTGGATCCCAATGTGATCAGTGACTCGGACGTTGCCTTCGGTGTTCGGGGTGGGGTCCAGCGGTCGAGGCTTCAGGTTTAGGGTTTAGGGTTTAGGGGTCCCTTTGAGTGCGGGGTGGATTCCAGCGTTTGACTCCAATACAGGAGCCTGAATCCATACCCTGAAAACGGACAGTTCTGGTGAGATGGGCCCCCTGTGCTGGGGTATTGTCGTGGGAGTGCTTCTTGTTTCGTTGCAGGAGATCACGTTCTCCACCCCCTGGAGCTCAGGCTACAATGCCACCATCAGCGCCTGTGAGAAGGGCCAGCAATGGAAGAGGGCGCTGGCTTTCTTCCATGCAATGCGGGATAGCGACGTGCCTGCTTCAGGGAATCAGGGAATATCAGGTCTCCGTCACACCGGCTATGAAGTATACCGACAGTCATCAGTCGTTTTGCCCTATACAGAAAAGATATTGCGCAATCAATCCCGGAATTTGCGTGAAGAATTTGCGTGAAGAATCGGAGTAAGGGGAGATAACGCCCAACATCACGACCCACAACGCCACCATCAGCTCAATGGCAGCGGCTGCACAGTGGCAGCGTGCCTTGCGCCTCTTTGCGGAGATGCCCGAAACGGAGCCCGTTTCTCCCTGCTCAGCAAGTACAGCTTGTGTAGCATCGTGTGTTGTCTTCTCTCCCTCTATCACGATATTGACCTGTGTGTACCTGTCTATCCATATGTGAACACATATGCAGAATTCATATTCAGGTATCAACTGTGTTCATTGTTTGTTCTGGGAAGTTCTCATTAATTGCAAGCATGTGCACTGATCGTCGAAACAATCGAGACCATCATGCAAACCGAAAGCCCCGAACCCTTCCGTTTCTGCCTGAGAACGATGCCCTCAACCCTCATCTCTGAACCCTAAACTCCGAAACCCTAAACCCCCAGGTTCCCAACCTCAGCATTTGCTACAACGCCGCCATGACCGCGTGCGAGAAGGGTGGGCAGTGGCAGCTGGCACTGCACGTCTTCCACTCCATGCCTGCGGCTGCCCTCGAACCTGCTCCTCGGCTCTTTCTAGGGTTTAGGGTTCACTTGGAGGTTGGGTTATAACTGTACTTATAATCCAATTGTAACCCGATTAGGGTACTTAAGGGGTTTAGAAGTGGGGTGGGTTATAACTACACTCATAATTGGGTTATAAGTCGCCTGAACCACCAAGTCGGGTTCAGGGCCTCGATGTCTTCATATGCTTTTGTCCGAGAATGGCGGTGATGGTGCTGATTCGTCAGATGTCAGCAACGCGAGAACACTTGCCCGGCGTTTTCCGAACCCTGCCCTAAACCCTAAACCCCAAACCCGAACCCGACATTGCCCTAAACCGTAGCCCTCCAATGGGAGTCTGAGGATCTCATCAGCTACAGTGCAGCCATCAGCGCCTTGGAGAAGGTCGGCCGCTGGCTGCTCGCGATTTTCGGGTTGAGGGTTGAGGTTCCGGGTGTGTCGTTACGTTATGGTCCACGCACACCCCGCGGGCGTGTGTTTCGGCGTTCACCATGGTTCACGCTCCTTCCAACCCACAAAGATTTGGCGTTTTGGGCCTCTCATCTTGGCCTCAACCCGTGCGCTGCACCTTCCAGGTGCAACCCCTAAACCCTAAACCCTAAACCCTAAACCCCTAAAACCCTGGCCCTAGTCTATATAACCCCTAAACCCGAAACCTTAATCCTTCGACTGTTGATTGAGGGTTTAGGCAGCTCGGGGTTGTAGCTGAACACAAAGCAGTCCGCGGGTGCTGCCGCGAAGGTCTGAGTGGACCCACTTTGACAGGAACTCCCCCCCCCTGGAAAAGCTTGTCACCAGAGGGTTTAGGGTTTAAGGGTTTATAGGGTTGAGGGTTTATAGGGTTAGGTTTATAATGCAGGGTTCAGGGTTTAGGGTTTCGGGTTTAGGGTTTATGGTTTCGGGTCATACTAGGCTCGTAACTACTTGTTGTTGGGAAGGGCGCACAGTGGCATCTGGCACTTCACCTCTTTGCGTCCATGCCGACGCCAACACGAACTCACGATGTCATCAGCTCCTCGACCCTTTGCTTCGTTTTTTTTTTTTTTTTTTTGGGGGGGGGGGGGGGGGGGGCGGAGGGGATTTTAGGGCTTAGCGGTTGAGGGATTTGTTGAGGGGAAGATGTTTATGGCTCTTTTTGTGTTTTACAGTAGTATTTGGGCGTTTTTCGGTTTCTGTGGGGGTTCTGGGAGGGGGTTTGCCCTCTTGTCGAGGTGTCAGTGCCGCCATCAGTGCCTGTGCGAGGGGCCAGCAGTGGCAGAGGGCCTTGCAGCTTTGGGAATCCATGCCGCAGGCGCGCAAAAGCACACTGGTTTGGGGGGCTTTCGGGGTACCTAACCACCTGCTGGGATGGATGGGCCCCATAGAGGCACGAGTTTTTGGTGGTGCAAAAGCTCCTACTTTTTCTGAGTTTCTAAACCAAGCGACGAACCCATTCCCCCGCAAGCCCTGAGTCCCCAAAATCAACTTGCAGCTGTAAACCCCCAAGCCTCAACCCATTTTGCAATATACGGCCAGCAAGAATGCTTATGTGTATTAGATCAAAAAAGTAGATACATACATATATATATATATATAGATTTACGTTCTTGGCGTCATATCCACTGACGCCAGGACCTTCAAAAGGAACCCTCATGTAGAAGAACCCCCATCACCTTGAGGCGGACACCGTGAGCCCCACAGCTTTGCCTGGCAAGACTTTTGTGGTCCTCTGGGGCCAAGAGGGTTTGGGTCCAGGCTGACCTTGGGGTTTCGTTTAGGGTTTCGTTTAGGGTTTCGGTGAGACCCTCAGGTTAGCTAGTTTAAGCCTAGTAGTTGTGAGGGGCAGCTTTGGTTGTCTTATGCCGTAGAGTTTGCCAGGGAGGCAGACAGGCAGGCATACCTTCCACGAGGGACGAGTCATCGGGGTCATTGAGGGTTGGAGGCGCCGAAGCATGGACTGAATATCCAAGCGCACCGGCCCTAAAGCCTCTAGACCTCATGCACGCCCTTCTGATTCCTTCCCCTAACATCACTATAGCCCGTGCAAGGATACCCAGTGGCACCCTATACGTGTTCAGAGTTGGACATGCTCGGTTCCTTCTAAACCCCGTTGATTGCATCGCTTCGGGCCGTCCGAAGGACCTAGAAAACAGGTTGACGGCTTTTTTCGTCTCAGGGGAGTTCGCAGGTGGGGGGGGGGGGGGGGGGGCAGACGCATCCCCTAGTGGCTTTTGGGCTTATACCGCTTAGGGTTGAGAGTCAAGGGGGCTTTGGGCTGGAGTTTTGGAGCTTGAGTTGTGGTTTAGGAGGTGAGTTATGGTGCGGGATGTTGTTGAGGCTTCAATGCCGCCATCAGCGCCTGCGCGAAGGGCCAGCAGTGGCAGCGAGCCGTGCAGCTTTTGGCATCCATGCCACAGGCGCCCCAAGCTTCGAAAATCCTGACACGCCTTTCTAAGCATCAAGCCCATTCGTTCTTCCCAAAGAGCCCCGCTACCCCTTCAACAAGGACTATGCCTTAAGTCACGTAAAGGATCCCTATGTAACTTAAGGTATCGTCCTTAGTTAAGAGGCATTGGGCTCTCTGGGTTTAGCATTTCAGGCACCCATAGGCCTCCAGAGTTCTTTTCGAGTTTAGGGTTTAGGGTTTGGGGTTTGGGGTTTGGGGTTTAGGGTTTGGGGTTTAGGGTTTAGGGTTTAGGGTTTGGGGTTTGGGGTTTGGGGTTTAGGGTTTAGGCCTAAGTCGACAGCAGTGCTACCAGTTGACCCTCCGGGATCGGAGCCCCATCGCCTCAAGGCGGACACCGTGAGCCCCACAGCTTTGCCTGGCAAGACTTTCGTGGTCCTCTACTTGGAGGTTCAGGGTACTTAGCAACCCTGTCATAAGTGTAGTCATACCACACTTCTTAGCCCCTTAAGTACCCTAATAGGGCTATAATAGGGTCATACTTGCAGTCATAATTGGGGTACTAAGTACCATGAACCTCCGGGTAGCTAGGGTGGAAAGGGTTTGGGTCTGTCTGGCCTCGGTTTCGTTTAGGGTTGCGGAACTGGGGTTTGAGACGCTCAGGTTGTTGAGTTTGGGGTATGGAGGGAAGTTTGGAACAATGAATCTCCAAGCTTTTTGTTAGCCTTGAACTCCTGCAAAGCCCTCCTATAGTCCCCAACATATCCTACAGAAACCGCTATCTGGGGCGTGGGCGCTTGACTTTTGTTTGCCGGTTCCCTTTTTGCAGGCGGGCTGGGCGCCTCGTATTGAAAAGCCCCGTCAATTGTGTGTACAAACGCTGCGTCCGGAAGATCCAGAAGTTGTTGGGTTGAGGGATTGTGGCTTCCGGGGGTCGGGTCGATTTTTTGACAAGGGGAGCCTTTACGGCTTCCTAAACCCTGTAGCACCTATAAACCCTAAACTTCACAATTCCCTAAACCCCGAAAACCTTAAAGCCCAAAAGCTCCCGGAACACTCAACCCAAGTCCGCCTACCTACTCCGGGACTCGTTTCTCCACACATACTACATGTTGCTTTCCGGGTTTTCAGGGTCTAGGGTCTTAAGGGTTTAGGTTTCATAGGATATAGGAGCGGTAAGCGATGCCCCAAAAGCTTCTAACAACGGGCCAACTCCCAGGTCTAAGGGGAGTAGGAACTTTAGAGCTCCTTACATTAAAACTTTAAAACATTCCACCCTTACGGCCTTAAAGCCTTCAACCCTTAAACCCTTCAACCCCTAAACCCCTAAACCCTTCAACCCTCAAACTCTTCAACCCTTAAACCCTAAACCCTGCACCCTACCTCTAGAGATGACCCAAGCCAGAGGCTTCAACACAGCGCTGAGCGCATTTGGCCCCGAGACCTGGCAAGGCGCCTTAAGCCTGTCCCCTCGCTGGAAATGCGGGTTTTGAGGGTTCAGGGTTTAGGGTTTGAGCAGGGTTTAGGGTTTTAGGATTTCTGGGTGTTGGGGTTTTAGGACTCTAGGGTGTTAGGGTTTTTGGGTGTAGGGGTGTTTGGGTTTCAGGGCTTGAGGGTTTCAGGGTTTAAGGTCCATTGGTTTTAGGGTTTCAGGGTTCCAGGGTTCCAGGGTTGGGGGTCGAGGGGCTTACAGTGGTGTGTAGATTCCTAGCAGCCTTAAGAACCCAGGAACGACAAGGTCAATCGATGTGCGACCTCCATTCTAGTACATACATTCTAGTTTCGAGTACCGAAAAGGGAAAGGGCCCAGGTTACACGAGGAAGAGGACGCATAGCCACCGAGGTTCCGTTCCATGCCGAAGGCCGAGATTGCACCAGATATCGGCAGCTACAACTCCGTACTGGATGCAGCATGTGACCAAGATGCAGGCTACGCTCTCTTCCTGGAAGCACTGCAGCAAAACGTTTACCACCAGCTGTCTCTCGGCTGCTCTGGCGGATCTTTTATGGGAGTTTACGAAAGTAAGGGACCCCTAATATAGAGCCCCAAATAATTGGAGTTCCTTCATAATAAGGACCCCAACAAGGTACCCCGAGTTTCGGAAACCATATGTTCCCAGGTGTGACAACTGTCAAACTCAAAACCCAAAGACCTCGTGTAGGGGTTCTGTTTTAGGGTTTAGGGTTTAGGGTTTATAGGGTTTTGGGGAGGGCTACAGGGGGGTTCACAGGCCATCGTCGAGCCTTTTAAGTACTTGGTGCACTGTATCCTACACATTGCAGGCCTCGCAACAGAAAAACCGCAATGCGCACCGGCGTTTGTTTTCGCCAGGCGCTGTAGCAAGCAATCCACACTCGGACTTCGAGAGGGGGACAGGCCCGACACTGAGGATGAACCTGCGGGAAAGGGCGCGCGAGCACTGGGTAGAGAGCATTCTGGGAGTAGCCACGCGACCCCCCCCCCCTGGCATCAGCAGGAAAGGGAGGGGCATGGCGGAAGAACTCAATGCAACAACACAGAGGCAAAGAGCCTTTGAAGCAGGGGCCAGCGTGAGACGAACATCGTTGTCCACGTAGATTACTCTTAAGAGGCAAGTCGTGTGCTTTGAAGAAACTGACGCTTCTGTTTTGCCCTCAGCCTGAGGCTCCGCAAGGGGCCTTGGTTTCTCGACTTGCATGAGATGTCGCGGGGCTCTGCGTGCCTGGCTGCAAGGCTGGGGAGCTGTGCCCTTAGCGAATTTGAGTTTGAACGCAGGTTGTACCCCTAAAGGTTCCCCTTAATTCACTCCCGAATATGACCCGTAGAGGACCTTTAAAAAAAGGCCCCCAAACCCAAGGGTACAACCTTAGGGGTCGATCTGAACAAGGGCCTTTATGGGGTTTAGGGTTTGCAGACTGAAGGCTGAGTGAGGGTAATCTTGTTGGAAGGCCGCCCAGTGCAGTGCAGGGTGAACTCCTTTTGCGAAGAAGTTTGCGCGAAAGCCAGTCGTTTTTGGGCACTGCAATTCCTAAGAAACAGCAAAATTCATAATTTCTGCTAGAGTTCCAAGTTCAGTAAGGACCAGAAGAGAACTCCAGAATACAAAGTGTCCGAAAGCCAGGTGGTGGCTCTCAACCATCCTGCCGCCTCGCCTACAGACGCAGAAGCGCCAGAAGTGCATCATTGCCGCTTGCCTCTGTACTTGGAGGTGCACGGTACTTAGTAACCCAGTTATTCCTGAACTTTAAAACCCTATTATCGTAACCCTGTTAGGGTACAGAAGGGGCTTATGAGTGGGTAATAGCTGCACTTACAATTGGGTTATAAGTACCCTGAACCTCCAAGCAAGGTCTCTGGTTTCTGGCATTCAGCCTTATGGTCAAGTTCTTCGCGCCTTGCAGGTTGGAGTTGCTCAAGCTTCACAAGCCACATATACATATATATGTATATACATATGTAGGACACACACACATATATATATATATATGTAGGCAATGGTCTGCATGAGGACCCTTTAGAGAATCGGCCGTCTAGAGCGGCAGCACCCGATATGCAGGAGCTTAGGGGTGCGACGTTTAGTTTGTTTTGTACTTTTCCAGGTGGTTCGTGCTGAAGGTGTTGGAGTATGTGCATCGGACCACTCCTCTTTAGGGTTTGAGACGTAGGGGTTTAGGGTTTGGGGGAGGGTGCAACCCATAGCTTCCGAAGCTCTTGCACAAGCCCGGTAAAAACTGCCGACAGTGTGTCAGAAGTCAGCCTACATCAGAGCCGATACCGTTGTCCCAACAAGCGGATATTGAACATCCGTTAGAAAGCCCCTGTGTTTGCCTGGTGGCATAAAGTTTTTGCCTATAACCACCCTGTGCTGGTCCAGTCAGAGGTAGTCAGGCTACCGTCCGCCAGGCTGAAACGTGGACAAACCCATAGCCCAAAAGTGTTATCCTACAACTCTGTAAGCCTTGCATGGGGTTTGGGGTTTAGGGTTTAGGGTTTATAAGCCCTAAACCCTAAACCCCAAACCCCAAACCCTACGCTTCCTAAAGAACCTGCTAAGATTACCGGATGGGGCCGCAGCCGGTCTTTGTGGCAAACGGGGGATATCCAAACAGCTGTGGCTCGCATGCTTTGGGTGCAACGTTCGGCTTTGGGGCTTTCAGGTTTACGGTTAGGGTTTAGGGGTTGCGGGGTTTAGGGGTTTAGGGGTTGAGGGGTTGAGGGGTTGAGGGGTTTAGGGGTTTAGGGGTGTAGGGTGTAGGGTTTAGGATTTAGGGGTATAGTAGGGTTTAGGATGAGGCGGTTTGAGGGGCCTTGGAGTTTAGGAAGTTCTGGGGCGCAGGAGTTTAGAGGTTTAGAAGCATTGGAGTTGATTGGCTTTTCGGGTTTAGGGCTTTCAGGGCTTTAGGTTTGGAGGAATTACGGGTTTAAGGCCGTACATAAAAAATAGGACTGCCAACCATGACTCTTCAATGCTTTTGTTCTAGTGAACGCCCCAAACCCCAAACCCAACGCCCCACGTAAACCTAAACCTTAACCCTAGACCCTAAAACGTTCTTTGGAGATTCAGGTAGGGACTCAAAGGTGGCCAGTATTCCAGTTTTTTGGAGGATTGGTTCCTTTATACAGCTCTTTGCTGCTCAGCAAAGGGTACCCGTTCTGTTCCTAGGAGTCTCTAGGATTCTAGTCTAAGCTCTTAGATATGCTGTAGTCCTGCCTGCCATATGTAAGCCGCCCGAAGTCCTCAAGTCTTCAAAGCTTATACAAGCTAAGCCCGAAACCCCAAACCCTGAACCCGACACCCTTAGGCCTAAACCCTGAACCCAAAACCCGCAACGCTGAACCCTACACCCTACACCCTACCCGGCCATTACACACATTTTTGCTGCTTCAAGGTAGTGGAGTGGCAGCTTGGGCAGTCGAACTTGGTTGGACACGCTTGCTAAATAGGGATGCTTGGGGCTTTAGGGTTGCGGAGTTTAGGGGTGCCCCAATCCGGAATCCTACCTGAGACTCTACTTACCTACAGTTTAGTAATAGCTACCCTGAAGTAGTAGGTGTAACCCATAAAGCTGTAGGTAAAGAGGGTCCCAGCTAAACCCGAAACTCTACACAACCAGGGCTTACTTAACGGGTTTTAAGGGTTTTAAGGGCTAAGACCGCTTTAAGTTCTTAGGGGAAGGTCCAGGACCTTGTGGGGTGGGCACAACTCAGAGCCTCTTTGGGGTTGAGGGGGCCCTGGGGTATGTTTGGGTATGTGGGGCTACCTGGGTTTTAGTAATGATGGGTTATTCAGAACTTTTGGGGCAGCATGGCGGCTTGAGGGTGTTTGGGCTTAAGGGATTCAGAGTTTAGGGGCCGCAGGAGTTTAGTTCCAGGGCTTTTCGGGCTTTTAGGGTCTGGGGGTTTAGGGTTTAGGGTTGGGGTCTGAGGGTTAGAGGGTCCTTGAATCTTCGCCGTCTAGTCTTTCGGCACTTGTTTTTGTGTTCTTGGGTTGTTGTGGTTCTTGGCTCCTGTGATGTTGGCAGTCTGCGAGTACCCTTGTTTTATTCTGTAAATGGTTACTAGGTTGCTAGGACCCAGAGTAGGCCCTTATTCCCTTGGTTTGGGGTTTCCATACTACTCCTCGTCATGTGCAATGCAGGGGCTTAGGTTCCCTTACAAGCCCCTTCAAAGCAAAAAGGGCACCATCTTCGTTCCTAACCCTTAACCCTAAACCCTAAACCCCTAAACCCTAAAACCCTGTTAAACGATGAGCCGTTCTTTTGTTGTCCTGGGTCTGGGTGCCGGGAACCCTTGGGGCAAGCTACCCCTTCCACACGCACTGAGTGCCAAACCCTAAACCTTAAACCCTCAAGCCCCCCCCCCCCCCCCCCCGATCTAACATCCCTTAATAGGGATTATGGTACCCCCTACTATCATGGGGAACATCCCAACCCGCAACCCTAAACCCTGAACCCTAAATGCGACATCTGCTCCGAGGCTCCTACGTCGCAAGCTTCCGGCCAGAGTTCGGCCGGGCAATCGGGGAAACCTGGAACTCCGTCTTAGCCGGTCGCGCGGCTGCACAGGTATATGCATATGTATATATATATATATATATGTGTACATCATGACATACATGCGTAAATATACATACATATATATATATATATATATATAGATATACATATACATATACATATACATATACATATACATATGTGTATGTATGTTTATGTGTCGTATACATATATGTACATATATACATGTTTTTGGACATATACAGAAACACGTATAGCCGGCTAGGGTCTAAGTAGTATTTAACTAGTATGTGGGAAGGATCGAGTTTGTTTAGGTCAGTAACTAGTAAGAATAATTGAGTGTGTTTAAATAATCAATGTATTTGTATTCTCTCTCTGTATATATATATATAGACATACATTCTCTTTTCCTTATGTATATGCATATGGTTTAGGGTGTAGGCTTTAGGGTTGAGGGTTCAGATTTTCGGGTTTGGGGTTCAGGGTTTCCGCCTTTTGGGTTCAGGGACTGTATGCCGAGGCAAGACTTGCGCCCTCCGCCACCGCTTCGAGGACAAAAGCGAGAATGGATCGGGATACAGGGATCCCAATACTACGGGGGCCCAGAGCATTTAGGGTAGTTCTATCATCAGAACGTAAAGAAGTAGAAGAACATCAAAAGATCTTTTGGGGAATTACCAATGGACAACATACAAAATCGTGTTGGCTCCTGTAGTACACCTTGAGTCCCCGCCCGTAGGTGTTGCTCAACTACAGAACCCTAGTGTAAAGAACACATCGGGGAGGGTTGAACCCTAAACCCCAATCCCTAGAAGTAGAGTTCAAAATGGATCCTCTGCTTCACCCTGGAACATCCGCGCCTGATTCCCAACAAGCCTCAAGCCTTTCGCAACGTGTAGGGCTCAGGGTTATGAGGGCTGTAGGGTTTGTAGGGTTGGAGGGTCTGTTGTTAAGTTTTTGTGTTTGTTATCGGGTTGCTTCTCTATAGGGTCTTAAGGGCTTTTAGGGTGTTTAGGCTCAGGGTTAAGGGATTCCAGGGCTGCCAGGGTTTGGGGCTCAGGGCTTTTTCGGGTCTTATGAGGAAGTTCAATCTGTAAGTCTTCTGAAGCCTGAGACCTCAAATCCTAAACCCTAAACCCTAAACCCTAAACCCTACCCCCTAAACCCTAAACCCTAAACCCTAAACCTAAACCTCAGTAGGGTTTGGGGCTCTTCGAGGAGCTGTCACAAGCCGTTCTGTCGTGGGTCTGGGTGTAGGGTTTGGGATTATTGCTCGAGACCAGCTTCCCCTGTGGATGGGTCTACAGGTTCAGGGTTCAGGGTTTAGGGTTCAAGGTTCACTCGCACACTTGCGTCCGAAGAGCCTGACACCCCCAAAATCCAATGCACTCAAGTGCCTTAACCCTACTGTAAACGCCAAAAGCCCTAAACTCCAAATCCCTAAAGCACTCAAAAACTCCATCCCCCCGCCCTGCCCCTCTCCCCCCCCGCCCCTGCCCCCCTTCCCACCCCTTCCCAGGTCCTCTCCAGACCATATGGCTCTGTGCTGATGCGGTGTCCATGACGCTGGAGCCCTGGTCTGTGGGTTTAAGGGTTTGGGGTTTAGGAGTTTTGAGGCTTCGGGCTTAGGGCTGCGGATTTGGGGTTTGGGCTCCTTGCTTTGTCGATGGAATAGCTCTTACTTCAGGCTTCAGGCTTATAGGGTTGAGGGTAGGCTGCGCCCCACTGGCCAAAGCCCATGCTTGGGGACTGCAACGTCTACTATGCTGAGTTTGCGTCGCCAACGGGGCTCTAGCCCGGCCCACATGTAGAGATCATCTGTAGATGTATGCTGCGTCCCCCCCCCCCCCAGCATGAAGAACCGATGCACTTGGACAGATCTTTGGGGATGCTTCTCCCTTCAATGCCTTAGATATGGTCCCCTGTTCTCGCTTAAAAAAGGCCACTTGCAGAGTTGGCTACGGGGCTTGTAATGCTTTGCTACCGCATCTGGTCTTTTTACAGTAGAAACTGGACTACCCAAATCCCAACTAACCCATCCTGGCAACGAATGCTACTGCGATGAGGCAAAGCACCGGCTGCATTCAGGTTCATTACGGCTTCAACTCATGGGCTTAGGTACTCTTGGTCAGGATTGGGGTGAAGGAATGAAGGTGATAATTGAAGCACCCAGATGCACCTGCCAACAAGGGGAAGTGTGGTCTGTGTCAACGTCAGTTTCTTCAAGGTGTTTTGACCCTAACTGTGCCCCAAGTCACGGGGGATGATCTGAGTTAGTGAGGCCCAGCCATGTTGAAGTTTTGACTCACAAAGTGCATGCATGGTTTGGGTCCGGGCTATACCTCTGAAGCTTGGCCCAGTTCCCGAGAAGCGAAGATGCCTAAGTTTAGTCCCCAGAGACCGCTCGCGTTCAGGTCTTCAATCTTCGCTGTGGGCAAGAAACCTACTAAGGCGCATTCCACAACCCTAAACCCTCAACCCTCAACTCCAAACTCCCCCTAAACAGAAGCTGCGTCCGAAGTCATGAAAGCGCCATGAAAACCCCATAAAGCCCATAGATCCAAATCTCAAACCCTTTGACCCACAGGCCCCTAAACCCTATAAACGCTCAGCAACCTCCTAGAACACCTCCAGCCTGAACCCTAAACCCCCTGAAGGCGAACATTCCAGTGTGGTCCCGTCTTGCAGACAAGATGTATGTGCCTCAAGTGTTTTGCATTCAAGGGCCCAGGGTTTAGGGAGGTGCAAAATGATGCCCAAGAAACCCTGAAGCCTGAGCCCACCCTTCGTTTCTTAGGGATGAGGATCCCTTCTAAACCCCTTTAGTGAATCTAGGCAGAGAAGGGTTCCCTCCTTCTTCCGGGTTCAGGCGCGTGGGGGGGTAGGGTCTTGTAAGGGACATGAATTGCGAGGATCGCAGCGCCTTGGCTCACTTTGCCTGCGGGTCGACCGCCCAGAGCGGGGAGCAATTCCTCAACCCTAAGCCCTTGCCCCTAAACTCTCCACCCCCACAGCCCAAAACCCCACAACCCACAGCCCTAAACCCCACAACCTACCACTCCTAAAAGACCCTCAAACTGAAGCAGATTCAAACCTGAACCAGCTTCATCGCCGCATCGGAACACGAAACCGGAGCCGCCACGATGCGAGGTGAATGCAAGGCCACAGCGAAGCCATGAGCCTGATACCGTTTCCTCTTACTAGGGACTTAGGGATGCTTCGGAATAATTCTGATTTTTTTGGCACTACAATTCCCAAGAAACAGCACAAAACATAGATTTTGCTAGGGTTCCAAGTTCATTGAAGGGGAATGAAGCAGTTAGGTACCTGTATGTCCCCCTATCTAGCCCTTTATACGGGATTACATGGGCTTATGACTCCTTCTTCATATGGCTTGCCTTGAAGCCCCATCTAGGTAGGATTTCGTGAGGTTTGACCTGTTCCTTCATGCTTTGGGCTTAGATTTTATCTCGCATTTGTTTTCAGAGGGTGCTTTAGGGGCCAACATAGGCGACTACGCTGCTAAGGGCTTCTAAGGCTTTTGGCCTTATCGGGCATAGAGCTGTACCCGAAAGCCTTCGCACCACTATAGCATTGAACTCTTCCAAATAACGACCCTCTAGAGATTTCACAGTGTTCCGGCACCACATACAACTTAGCACGAAGCAAGATGGGGCGGCTAGGGCGCCCCCGAGCCCCAAGCCCAAAACTCTCAGCCATAAGAACTAAAGCCTAAACCCCAAACCCCAAGTCCTAAACCCTGAGCCCTAGAAATCCGAGATATACATTGATCTCAAGGCCCTTATAAAGTCCCCTTCTTGAGCCCGAAGTCGTCAGGGCCACGTGGCCAACGTCCTGAGCGCCTGCTTCGGGCACGGGGACTTCACCGTGACGGTGCTCCACCCCGGAGCCACGGCTGCCTCGCCGTTTTTGGGGTTGCGGGATTATAGGGTTTATAGCGTTTGTAGGCTTTACAGGGTGTTTTGGGTTAATTATAGGGTGTAGGGTTTAGCAAGGCCGGTGGCCCAGTGGTGAAATAAGGCCCCAAAGCCTCCGTCAAAGTTCCAAGAGGAGCCCCACCTGCCCAGAAGCTTAAACCCTAACCCTAAACCCTAAACCCTAAACCCTAAACTTGGTACACTTCTCGATTAGTGCTAAGAGTTCCCAGTACATCCCACACCGAAACCCAACCTCCAAACCATCCGGCGTCTGCGGACGGGCCTGTGGACGACCTCGACGGGGACAACGCTCATTTCACGTTCGATATGGTGTCTGCTTGAAGGTTCATGCTTACTTATGAATAGGGTTGCAAGCAGGGTAATTAGAAGTCATGACCTTATTTTCAGGTACTTACAGCCCGACTTCTGGCAAGTCGTTTTGTTTCAGCCTGGCATCTTTTTGGAGCCCCGTGCTCATACTGAGTTGAGCAGTCAACCCTAACCTCTAAACTCTAAGAAGTCAAAAGCTTCTGCTTAGTAGCCCAGGGGCAGCAGAGCTCGAAAGGAAGATGCCAACCGAGTTCAAGCCCGGGTTGGAATGAGAAGGTCGAGGTACGACCTTTGAGAGTTACGATGTACACCCAGCGGGTTTCTGTCTTCTTCTTTGGTTTGTGGTGGCAGAGGGGGCGGAGGGGGGGGGGGGGAGTCAAGCAGAAGGGCTACGCATTGATACTCGGTGCAAGAGTTGGCACCACCACCCAAGTACCTTTCAAGATACCCGGAAACACGGTCCGGCCCTATTTCGGGGCGCTTAGGGGGAGGACCTCATGGTACACAGAACCCGAAACTCTCAACCCCGCAAAAATGCACTTCATGACCTCAGGAGGTTGCAATGATGGGAGCGACAGCGCTGAGGTGAAGCGCACAGAATTTCGGGTGTGCCTTGGCAGACCCAGGAATCTTGCGAGATCTCCGTTTCCTCAGGTATCGGCATTCCAGCCAGATTGACGTAGGTTCTTGCGCTGCCATGCTTTTAAAGATTCATCATCGCCTGCGCCGAGGTGGTCTGTCCTGCTCTCCAAGTGGTCGCCGATCTTTGACAAAATGAGCCCTGGCCGAAGCTCTGCCCTGAAGAGTTTTTTATGGCTTTGCTGCTACGAGATGTTTGCAGACATTGAAGTGGGGCTTGGCCTGCCTTTAATGCGGCGCCGTTTAGAGCAGCGGAGGTGGTGCATGAAAAGATAAGTGCCATTCAGGGTGGATCTCCAGATTGAAACCCACTTTGCCTCAGGATCAGTTCGCCAAACTTCTGCGAAGCCAGCGAAAAGCAGGTGGCCTTGATGGCAGCATGGGGCATTGACAACAGTGCGCAGATGGGTTCAGAACAGGCCAGCTTCTTGTTCTCAAGGGTTTGCCGATGCTTTGGTCATTCTTCGACTCATCATTCTGCTCAGCATTGTTTGGTTCGTTGTCGCTATATGACTGGTATTACTATCATATTTATTATTGCTACTACTATTCGCATTGTTATTTGTATTATCATTGTTGCCATTATTACAATGATGACAATGACGATGAATCATAACTATCTTGTTTACTTTGGTTTTGTTGTGATCATGAAAGTTATGGTTCTAATTGTGTTAATGATTATGACTACTCTTGCGTCCCAGTACTACGATAACGGTTACAAATATTTAAAACATTCCTGATAATCAAGGCAATAGCAACAGCATCCGTATTAGCAATAAAGCCGTACCAGCAATAAAAATCATACTAGCAGCAGTCGCCATAGCAGTAATTCTCTCACGACGAACAACAATAGTTGTAATGAGATCAAAATACACAGAGTCATGGAGCAGTGGCCATGGACCGTAACAGACCACCCCCGAAGCCTCCAAAGTCCAAACCCTTAAGAACCCTAAACCCTATCCCTAAACCCTAAACCCTAAACCCTAAACCCTAAACCCTAAACCCTAAACCCTAAACCCTAAACCCTAAACCCTAAACCCTAAACCCTAAACCCTAAACCCTAAACCCTAGCACTTGAGGTGGTCATCGGCGACTTCTCGGCCGATGCTGTGGAGACCTTCCTCCGCTTCCTCTATTCCGGGACGGTGGAGGGCTCTCTGGCACTTCGGCCCCGAAGCTGATGATTTCGTTGTTTTGTTTTTGTTGAGGGTTTGTGCTTTTCTTTTAGTTTTTAGCTTGTGTGGTTTGTGTTCGGCTTTCGGCCCTGGACAGGTTCGGTTTGTTTTGATTTAGAGCTTCTTGTTTTTTGGAGGTTCCTGCAGCCCAAAGGTGTCAAGGCCCATAAGCAGGGTATGGGGTTTAGGGTTTGGGGTTTAGCCCTGTGAGCAGGGTTTGCGCTTTCGGGTTTCGCCGCATCCGAGGCAACCCTGGTAGAAGTGGCAGCCATGGCGGACAAGTACCAGGCCATGTTCCCTAAGCCCTAAACCCTATAAAGCCCTTAACCCTGCTCCCTGTAAACCCTAAATCCCACAAACCCTGAAACCCTATGAACCTTAAACCGGCGTCAGCTCATCGAGTCGAAGATCCTATGATGCTGGGGGAGGGGGGGGGGTTCGAAAGGTCCTTTGCTGGATTGTTTGGGGGTTCCTATGGGTTTTGAAAAGGAAAGCTTAGGGTTATTCTGGAAAAAAAGGGTAGCTCACAGGCGATGAACTCACTCGACACCACCTGCAAGTCTCGGTGCAAACCAAGATCTGCGAAGCCCCCCCCCCCCCCGCCAATCGCCAATCTCGTCGCAGGTGGATGAGCTCCTGGTTCTTTGCACTGCGACTTGCTCACAACGAGTCGTCCTCGTAAATCTCGCCGTAGCCAGTAGGAGCAGACGAGGAGCAGGAGCAGGATGAGTGGCAGCAGGAGTAGGAGGAGCAGTCGGGGGGGGGGGGGGGTCGTAGGGTTGAGGGTCCAGCGGAAAGAGCCTCATAGTCTAACATCCACCACAACCCTAAACCCCAAACCCCAAATCCCAAACCCTAAACCCTAAACCCTAAACCCTGAACCCTGAACCCTGAACCCTAAACCCTGCCCCTAATCCAAAGGAGGTCCTCCAAGAGCAGCTTACGAAGCAGCCCGAGCTGGCCTGCGAGCTCTTCGCCTGTGCCGACCGGTTTCAGGTGGCCAACCTCCGCTTGGAGGCAGGTGTCTCTAACCCTACGAGCCTACAAAACCCTGTAAATCGCATAAGCCCCTATACAAACTATGAACTTCTCATAAACCCTCTAGCTCCTAAACCTAAATCCCTGTTTTTTTTTTTCGGGTTTTGAGGTCCCTCTACCATGATGCGAATGAACCACTTTTAGTAGAGGGTCATTATATACCCTCGAATATCCGAGAGCTTTTGAATGTACTATATTGTACCATAAACACAATCTACGATGATGTAAGCATTTTCTTCTTCAGAGGTGGGCGGAGCGGCGGGGGAGTGCGGGGTGTTTACCAGGAGGGGACCAGCCTAGCCCAAAATCACAGCTTATGCAGGGTGAGTAGGGTTTAGGGTTTAGGAGGTTCAGGGTGTATAGGGCCTAGTCTCACACCGGTGAGGGGTGTTGGGGTGCTATATCATGAAACCCTCTCGAGATTGAAGAGCCCTAAGCCTGCAGCCCCGAGCTCCAATACCAAACCCTCAGCCCTGAACCTCTTTTTGCTTCTGCTTCTTGTCATCTGTGGCTTTCGAGGCCCTGGAGCAAATCTGGATCCATGCCCGGGAGGCGCTACGCACTCGCCCCAACTTGAGTCTGAGGCTACTTGACGAGGCCGGACTTTGTTCATGGAGGGTTTATTATCTGGGGCTTAAGGTTCGGGATGTTTCATAGTTTCCCTTGCAGGGCGTTGTTAGTGTTCCGTTTTTCCAGAGGGCTTGAGCCTCAGACTTGTTTTTCCCCCCTCCTTTCTGTAGGTGGGGAGTTCGATCGGGGCTTAGGGCGGGGGAAGGTTTGCGTTCAGGGTGAGTGTGCGGCTTTTTTTTACAGGCTTTTCGGGTTCGGGTAGGGGGTGGGGCTGGGTGGTCAGAGACAGCAAGCACCAGGTAGGTTTCCAAACGGTTCTCTAGATTTTGGCTACTGGGTACCCTGACATCATAAAAAGACCTCGAGGTTAGACGAGTTTTGTTTCAGTGCATCCCCCCCTCCTACTACTACTACTACTACTACTACTACTACTACTACTACTACTACTACTACTACTACTACTACTACTACTACTACTACTACTGCTACTACTACTACTACTGCTACTACTGCTACTACTGCTACTACTGCTACTACTGCTACTACTGCTACTACTACTACTACTACTACTACTACTACTACTACTACTACTACTACTACTACTACTAAGGGGGTTTGGTGTTTAGGGTTTAAGGTTTTAGGAAAGCCCTTTCTGTTGCAGGTTTGCAGTAGAATCCTACTACAATAGCTGGCTACAAAATCTTGGGGTTAACCCTAACCACTAACCCCTAAGCCCGAAGCCCTAAACCCCTCAGGTGCTGAACTTGGACTTGCTTTGCGCAGACACGGAAGCGACTTGGCGAAGTGGGGGTTTGGCACTCTGAGGACGAAGCGATTCTGCTGCTGCGAAACAGCCCAGGAACCCCATAAGCCCTACCTAAAACCCTTTTTTACCTACAGTTTTATGGGTTATACCTACTAATTAAGGGTAGTTACTACTTAAACTGTAGGTAAATTACCCCAAACATCCCCGAAACCCGATAGCAGAGGAGATACGAGAGCTGCTCATCAGCTGGGGCAACAGCAAGAAGCGCAAGGCGTCGACGATAAAGGAGGACGCAGTGAAGGGATCAGCACGCTACCGCATATCTTTCAGTACATACATCATGTGTATGCTGACAGAGTCTGCAGTGTAGAGTTCAACTCTGCATTAAGTTAAGTGCTGTTCTACATTAATCATGGGTTCTCCTGCTACCCCCCTCTATACTACCCCCCTAAGTTCCCCCTTAATGAAGGCTATTTAGGAAGACTTAAGTTTCTTCTCGGTGAGGGAACTCGGGGGGCTATAAAAGAGCGGGTGTCGGGGAACCCATGACACATTGGAGACTTTGCTCTCCGTATGGAGGAGGAGGAGGAGGTGGAGGACGAGACAGACTTGTTTCAAGCCTCCCTCAACAAGCACATCGCACGCCTGAGCCCTGCCTGGCGGCGTACGCCGGAGCACAGCAATGATGTGCTGACTTCCTTGTGGTCACTGGGGTGCTCTTAGACTTCTACCTCTTTTGCTGAAAGTTTGCCTTGGCTAATGTTTTAGTGGCAGCAGCACAGATGCTTGAAGCCCCAAAAGGAGTCCACTACTTGTACCAGTCTTGAGGTTGGACTACGAGAAGGCTGGCAAGACGGGCGCATTCCTGGGCTGTTGGGTGTCCATGATCCTGGGCCCGGACAGTGCGTTGTCCGCAAGTGACGACCCCTCGCTGCTCCAGAAGTACGCCGCAACTAGGACCCAGAGTAGGCCCTTATTCACATTTTTAGGGCTTAGGTTCCCTCATTATAGTTATCGGCCTCTTTAAACCGAAGGAGGGCTCGGAGTGCACTCTTTTTTTTCCTAGGATACAGTTGGGTCGAGGCAAATGCTGAGAAAATCCCGCGCTGTCTCGACTACGTGGTCTGGATGCTGCCACATTCTTCTGTCTACATCATGGGCTTCTCATTCGCCCGCGAAGTTCTCGGCTTTACTCGCTTCAAAATTTGCTGTTCCGAGGATGGCTCCAAATGGCATGAAGTCTTCACTTCCACTGGAGGAATTGAGAAGGGCGAGCTCGTGGCATGCAAGAGGCTACCGCAGATGGTCAGGTGGTTCAGGCTCTCTGTGTTGGAAGGCTGTTGGAGCAACAGCTTCAACATCCATGGCATCTTGGGTGGGCGTAAGCCCACGAGGCGCACATGACCGATGCGCAAAAGCTGCCATGGTTTCAATTTCCCCGAAGCGGTTCCGCTGAAGCGGTTCCGTCCCCTTAAAACTGGAGAGATGCGGCGCCTCCAAGCCCGCTCGCGTAGAAGTCCAACCTCAGTTCTCTGTGCGGAATCCCGCGGTAGGCACGCAGCTACAACAGCTAAGCCCTATAAACCAGAAACTTAGGCATCCCAACAGCCCAAACCCCTAAATCCCGGACTCTACACCGCGACTGCAACATCGGCTCCTAGAATCATGCACTATTGACCGACAATCTCTTGACACTCCCGACAGAACTCCAATGTACAAAGTCACGAAGCTTCACTTCGTGCGAATGGCCCCCAAGCCCCTAAACCCTCAAACCCTAAGCCCCTAAACCTCTCAACCTCTAACCCTATTACTCGGAGCTTTATGCCGGTCTCTTTAGGTGTTTGTAAGGTTATAGAGTCCAATTCGTCCTGGCAAGCAGGTCAAGAAAGTACACTCGAAATTGCTGCAAAATAGAGATAGCTGTAAACTGTGTCTAATCAACATAAGTCCGGACCGCTATACTATTACTAGCTCCCCATCTGCATACTCAGAGGCACATCACCTACGTTTAACTACATCATCTGCTGGGCTTAAGCGGCTCTGGAGGGGCTGTCGATGGTTTCAGGGTTTGGGGTTTCAGGGCCCTTTTTGCTCAGGGTTTCTTCTGTTTTTTGTGGGGGGGTTCGGCAGGGGAGGGGGCCAGTAGGTGGATCCGGGCTCCGGGACCTAGATTCTGGGGCTAAGGGAATCGGGTGGACGGAGCTTTCATTGTGACTGTATGGAGCATGGGCTTCATAGGATCTTTGTAGGATTTACACAGGGCTTGTAGGCCCAGATTCGGGGCAGCGCAGGACGCTTTCATTGATCGACTCACGGGTTCTTTAGGGTAGGGAGAGCGAGTCGCTAAAGAATCACCAGGGTTTCGGGGTTTGGGGGTTAGGGTTGGGGTTTGAGGTTTACAGGTTTAGGGGGTTAGGGGTTCAAGGGCCTAGGGTTTAGGGTTTTGGATTCAGGGTTTTAGGTTTGACTTTCAGAGCTGTGACCGAAGCCCCCAAACCCTAATTTCCCAGTACTTGAGGTTGAGGCCCCGGGTCATGCAGTCCGCCAACGTTCCATACTGGTGGGCGAAAGGACGTTAATGCGAAGGGTGGCATAGTTTGAGGTTTTGTTTTGCTTGCGGTGGGGAGGGGCGGGGGGCTTAGAATTTAGGAGTTTAGGGTTTGGGTTTCAGAGTTCAGGGTTTGACGGTCCCTGGAGGATCCTTCACGTCTCCGCCTCCCCGACCTGAGCCGAAGCTCTTCTTTGAGTCGAACGCCGAATGAAGTGGGGAACAAGCTGTCATCTGGGGTTTTCGGGTTCAAGGCTTTAGACAGAATAACTTTGCAACTTAGAAACGGCTACATCTATCTGAGGTTTTAGGGTTCTGGATTTGGGGTTTGGGGGTTGAGGGTTTACGGAGCCTTTACACCCGATTGTGGCCCAGAAGGGATCACTTCCCTACATCTTGGGGCACGCCCCGAAGCCCGAAAGCTGAAGGGTCTCAGAACTCTTCTCTGAAAGTGCTCCGAGAGGTTGCCATTGCACATGTTACGAGACTTCACTGGGCGGGGGTTGCTCCCGAGTGTTTCTCGAGATGCCCAATCGTATCCTTATGCACTTGTTTTTTGGGGTGAGGACCCTCCAAGGATGTGGCCCCTGCAATTTCGAAGGCCTTTTAAAGAAGGTTTGAGGCATAGTGTTTAACAGGGTTTAGGGCCCTGGGCCCCCGAGGTTTGGGGGTTTGGGGGCACGGGGCTTCGAGCTAGGGGGAGTAGGGTTTAGGGCCCTGGTGAGTGCATGGATTGGAGATGCTGAACCCTAAATCCTAAACCTTTTTATTGCCAGGTTACTGGGCAGGTGTGGGCTTATGAATGTGCGGGGTATTAGGACAGTGCTGTGAGATCTCTGTAAAATGGCCTTGGCTGATGTGTTTACAAGGGTGTAGGGCCCTCGGGATTTAGGGTTTAGGGTGTTGAGTTTAGGGTTTACAAACCTGAAGAATGAGCTACCAGCCTCGATAAGGACACCACATGCGCAGTGAGGATTGGCTGCCCAGAGCCCTACAATCGGTTCTGAGCCACGACCCTATGCAGTTGGAAATAGTGTACCTTGGGATTTCTTTAACAGAGGCGAACCTAAACCCGAAACTCTTACACCCTAAACGCTAAATCCTTGGCAATCTCTTTGCAGATGAACCTGAGGTCGGTAAGCCATCATGGAATGGAGTCGTAAACTCTGCACCCAATCGTCATCGAAAGCTACCGCTCCTAAAGACTGGCTGGTTCTTAGTAGGGAATGAGGGAATGAGGTACCCTATAAAATCCCTTAGAGGGTTTAGGGCTCTAATTCCCTCATTCCCTACTAAGAACCAGGGGGGAAGAGAGATCGCCATGGCTGCCCTACATGCGCGGCTATGCCGTGGCTGCGCAGCCGGGCGACGAGTGGCATCAGATTCTGAACCTGTCCCTTAGCTTCCTGTAAGGGGGCTCCATGAACTTGCTGGCCCTTTTCATGGAGAATTTGGGATTTAGGTACCCGATAGAATTCCCAAAAAATAGGGTGCTAGGGGGAGGATATATACAAGGCATCGAGTCCCGAGCAAGAGCAGGAAGCAGTGGTCGTCTGAATGGCTCAGATACCCTGGGGGTTAGTACCCTGATACTTCGGAATCCTTGGGAAGATAATTGTTACTTTTTGTACTATAATTCCTAAGAGACAGCGAAGATTCTAATTGTTGCAAGGGTTCCGATTTCAGTATAGTACACCCTCAACCCTTAACCTTGTCCTTCAAGGGCTCTCAAGCAGGCTGTCGGCGGCTGCCACTGTGCGTCTGTATGCCAGCGTCATCGACATCAACGTTGTCATCACGGTTCCCCAGCTGTTGCCAGGATATCCCCGAAAAGCCCCTTAAACCCTCAACCCAAACACCCGAAAAACCCCAAGCCCTATATTCAAAACACCCCAACCCCCCCCCCCCAACCCCCTCTCCCCAAAAAACAAAAAAAAACAAGGCCTGCGGACGCGTGCGCCGCTGGCGCCTGGGGACGGACCTCCTTGGCCTCCTACGAGATCGCGGGCTGCGCAGCAGCCCGGGGCCCGTTTGTTTCGCCTTCAGTGTGGTTTAGGACCAGGGTTGAGGGTTTAAGGTTTATATTATATAGGGTTTCCTAACCGTTCAGTGTGTTTTAGGACTTAGAGGTTTTTGCATTCAGGGAGGGCAGGGTTCACTTTCATTGTATTTTCATTGTTCACTGGTTTTCTTTCGGGGCTTTTAAAGACGCTTCTTGTATTGTCCGGAAGTTTGTGTCTGTTCTGCCTCGGCCCTTGGACTGCTTTGGCTTCTCAGCAGGCTGGAGCCCCCCCAACGCGCAGATAGCCCTAGGTTGGGATGCTCCCTGACACGAACAGCCCTTAATAGGGATTATAGGTTCCAGGTTTGGGGGGCTTTTGGCTTTTGGTGTGTTTTTTTTTTCATCAGGTTTTTGGGGCTTAAGGATGGACTTCAGGGCAGAGGCTCTCGGGCCTCAATTTCAAGGTTCCAGGATGTAAGTACGGTGTAAGGTCTACATGTTTAAGATGTGTGATGATGAGGTGTCACAGGTTGACTGAACAGAAAGTTGCACGAAATGTTAGAGAAATCATGCGTCTTGACTACGGAAAGCGGCTCAATTTGAATACGATGCGTAATTGTGCACCCAACCCAACGAGTGATCTTTGCTTCTCTGCAGCGGGGAACACCCTGTAGCCGGACTCTTGGACTGTTGTCGAAATAAGTCTACAAGGGTTCTACATGTTGCTGTTAGAAGCATGGATGCAACAACTTTAAGTCCAGGGCGTGGTGGTGTCTACTTGGATGCCCAGTAGTAGCCCAGCAGTATCCTCATTCCTCTTGGGGGGGTTAGGCCAGCTTTCATTCTGAGGTTGCTGGGTAACCTAGACTGTGGGTCCCTTGGGATATTTGAGATGCTTCTGGCCCTGAAACAACCCCAAAGCCCTAACACTAACACCTGAGTATTGTCCAGAGTTTTTTCAATGGCTCTACAGGTTGTCTCGGAATGTGTAAGGGTTTAGGGTTTGTTTTTTTCTGGGAGGGTTTGGGGGTTCAGGGTTTATATGGGTTTTGGAGTCTAGGGTGAGGTTTATCCACCTTATATTCGTGTCTACGACTTGGTCTTCATTTTGAGTGGGTGAAGTGAACTTAGAACTTCTCACAATCTGGGGGTTTACGATATTAGGGGTACCTTTTTGAAGGTCCTTATTTTGAGGGGATGCTACTAGTTGGGCGTCTTTCTTAGGGGGTCCCTTATGATCGCAAACCCTCATATCAGCCCTTGGGCCAAGGCCTCGTTTCGTTCAATGCGGCCAGCAGCGCCACCGAACGAGGCGGAAGAATGTCTAAACCCTACTTGGGACTCTATTTACCTACAGTTTAGTAGTAGCTACCCTTAATTAGTAGGTAAGAATACCTCATAAAACAGTAGGTAAAGAGGGTCCCAGGTACTTGGAGGTACTGATAACATTATAACCTTACTTGGGGTACTGAGAACCCTACTACCAAGTCAAGGCCCTAAACCCTGCAAAGCCCTGTAAGCCCCATAAACCCTCTAAACCCTCCAAACCCTCCAAACCCTCTAAACCCTCTAAACCCTCCAAACCCTCCAAACCCTCTAAACCCTCTAAACCCTCTAAACCCTCTAAACCCTTTAAACCCTCTAAACCCTCTAAACACTCTAAACCCTCTAAACCCTAAACCGATGGCAGAGCTTCCAAAATCAGCGAAAGGAGGCGCCTGGCAGCAGTCGCTTCGGTGCCTTGACGGAAGCTGAAAGCGTTTCTCTTCGGGTGGAATTTAGGGTTTAGGGTTTAGGGTTTAGGGTTTAGGGTTTAGGGTTTAGGGTTTAGGGTTTAGGGTTTAGGGTTTAGGGCTTCGGGTTCAGGGTTTAGGGTTTGGGGTTAAAGGGTTTAGGGTTTCGGGTTTTGGGGCCTCCTGCGTTGGGGTTAAGGTGTTCTGCGGCTTCTGGTGGGGGCTTGGGGACGGTCGCCACGGGTCTGCTATGTTCTCTTACGCCCTGGCCTTAGACCCTAAAGTTTCAACCCCAACCCCTACACCCTAAACCCTAGTCGCCGAGGGGTTGAATCCCGCCGCTACCATGATGACTAAAGCCCACCCTCCTCCCCCATCTGGCCCTAGACCCCAAACTGTTCTTAACCCTAAACCCCCCTAGTCCCCTCTTAACCCGAACCCTAAACCCTCAACCCTAAACCCTAAATCCGAAACATGCTGAAGAGAAACCACGCAAACCGACCAGTCAAGGCTGCTTGCCGTGTTGGCCCACTCGCAGCTTCGCGCCGACGAAGCTACTTGGAGCCAACTTTCGGGCGCTTCTTTTGAGGGTTTAGGGAGTTTAGGGTTTAGGATTCAGGGCTTAGGATTTAGGGTTTAGGGTTAGGGAGTTTAGGGTCTAGGGAGTTTAGGGTTTAGGATTCAGGACTTAGGATTTGTTTAGGGTTTAGGACTGATTCAGGGTTTGGGGCTTAGGATTCAGGGCTTAGGATTCAGGATTCAGGATTTAGCATTGAGGGTTTAGGGATTAAGGTTTGAGGCTTAAGGTTGTGGGTTTAGGGTTTGTCACGGTGCACGGAAGTGTAGGGTTTAGGGTTTGTAACGGTTTAGGTTTAGGTGCTCAGCCAAGGGCCAGGGTTCCGATTCTGCTACAGTTCGCGATGCCCTATACATCCAAGCAAAAGGTCAAAACAGCTGCAAGCCTAACTAGAGTAACCTTACCACTTTATACCTTGAAAAGATGGTCACTAGGTCCAATCATCATGGTACATCTTTCTCTTCTAGGGTATAAAGACCAAAAGACTAGGTGGACCAGAGACTTTCAACCCGGAACGCCCTTGCATCTCCTCTCCCCCTCGTTTTGTAAGCTTTACGGTTTACAGGGCTTTGGTTTAGGCCTTTTTTAGATCGGGTAGGTTTTAACCAGTCCAAGCCTCCATTATCCCCGGCAGATCCCTGCAGGTTAGCAGTACAGGCGCTGTCATGGCGCTGCAGTCAGGCAGGATGTCCACATGAGCCATGGATTCATGCTTGGGAGTTCTGGTTTCGGCTTATAGGTTTTTTTGGGGGGCCTAAAGCTTGAAACCCTTCAACCCTAAACCCTAAACCTAAACCCTAGGCGGAGCTGCTTCCAGCCTCGTGCGTAGGGCTTAGGGTTTTGGGTTTATGGGGTTCAGGATTCAAGGTTTAGGGGGTAGGATAGAAACTTTCAAGCTCGCCCTTTGGAGCTTGGGTTCGAAGAGATCCAAGCTTTGGGTTTGGGGTTTTTGTCGTTTGAGGGAGCAGTCAGGGCTCCCTGAACCGTGAAATTTCGGCTCATGGTGCCAAGCTGCCTAGCCCTAAACCTTAAACCCTAAATCCTAAACCAGTGCCGATGAGCCAGCCCCAGGATGGACCGAAGCTTCTCACGCGGAAGGTCCGCATCGACACCAGGGCCGTGGACGGGGTTCGAGGCTTCGCGGTCTTCCACATCCTCGTTGGCCATATCTTCCTCTACAGTAACATGAAAGAGCTGGCTGAGCTGGAGCCGCGAGACCCGGTGAAGGAGGTTTCTTTCCCAAGGGTCTTTCCCGAGTCATCCGCATGCCCGGAAGGATGGGCGCGGTTGGAGGAGATGTGCTACGGTATTCCAGGATGTAACAAGGAAGGTGGGGATGATCTATCTCTCTCTTGGCACGAGGCGGAGCAGTTTTGCGGGAGGCTGGTACCGGGTGGCCATCTCATGTCGTTCGCAGGAGGGCATCCCGCAGATGCCAAGCAGAAAGTTCATGACGTTGTGACCGGACTCTGGCCGATAGCAAACGAATCGGACAAGAGTTACTCTGACTTGGTGTGGTGGGTCGGCCTCAAGGACATCGAGGAGGGTTGGAGGTGGTCCAGTGGTGAGGTCACCAATGAGCACGCTGGGATTCCGTGGGCACTGCGGGAACCCAATATTTCTCGAGGAAGGGGTGAACGCTGTGCTGGGGCCGGGGTGACCGGTCACTTCCGCGATTTCTACTGCGACGAGGAGAAGCGGTTCCTGTGCCAGGTGAGGGCCAAGCTTGCCAACTGCCCTGCCCCCTGCCTTCAGAGGTCAGTGGAGGGTTGGAGCATCGGAGCCTTCTGGCCGTGCAGTCCTCAAGGTTCGGCTGAAGAGAGCCAGAACGAGGCTTGCGATCCCGGAAGCACGGTGGCCTTGATGGGCGGTGGCTCCATGGGTCTTTTCTACATCATCTCGGGCTTCGTGATGGTGGTCGGCTACTGTCAGGTGATGCTGCAGCCCTGCTGGCGGTGCAGTGGCGGAGAAGAGGAGATGCCGAAACTCAGTGCGTGCCACTTCTGGTACCGGCGCCTCAGTCGCTTGGCCCCAACCTACTACCTCACCAATGCCATCGGTGTGGGCGGCATTGTAAAGAGCCCTGGAGCGTGGAATACATCCCTGTGCAGACTTGGATCCTCTCTGCCCTGGGCCTTACCTCCTGGGTACAGGAGGTCCCCGTAGGTAACGGCGTCATGTGGACAGTCTCCACCATGATGTTCTTCTACCTGGTCTTCCCAGCCATTGCACCTTGCACGTCTCCATCCGCGATGGTTCCCGGCATTAGCGATCGGGATGTACATTCTGCAGGCGTGCATGATGACCTTCTTCTACACCATGTATGATGACTACTCGATTCGCATGAATCCTTTGGTGAGGCTCCCCATCTTCGTCATGGGCATGTGTGCTGGTTTCGTCCGGGTGCACTCGGAACAGAAGAGAGCACAGCAGGCGGATGCTTCGCAAACACCGGTCAGCAGACGAGACGTGCCGTTGGAAGAAGCGACTGCCGGGCACTGCTTCCACCCAGCAGTTTCTGCGGTGGCCTGGCTGATCGCCACCTTGACTGCCACTGCGATGACCCTTGTGTGCAGGATTCACTTCATGTCTCGCTTTTGGTTGGAGGTGGGTTTCCCCATCCTCTTCTACGAGTTCCTCCTTGCCGTGACAAACCCCGCCTACCAGTTTGCCTGCATCACGAGCTTCTTCCGGTGTACGCCCATGCGCTTCCTGGGCGACATCTCGATGTCCACTTACATGATCCATATACTCCTCGCCGCGACCTTTGGCTTATTTGTACAGGACAGGATTTGGGGAGACCTGGCCTGGTGGACGGTTCTTGCAGTTGTCCCGGCCTCCATCCTCCTGGGTTGGTTGATGACGGAGTTCTTTGAGAAGCCCATCGCCAGAAGACTCCGCCCTGACAATCCACCAGCCACTGTATGTAGATTCTCAACTCCAAAGCCTCCAGCCGTAATGGTGGGATCACCACTGCCGTGAGGGGCGCTTCATCACCTCCTGCTCGCTTTTTCAGACACGCCTTGCTTGCTCCCAGAGACCACCCACAGTCTCCATTGGGCACAGCACTAGATTTGATGTTGGCCAACAGTATCCAAGAATGGTCTCTTTAGGATTTCAGGTCTAGGGGCCCGAAAAAGCATGCCAGGTACTCCAAGCAGATGTCGTTTAAGGCTTTGTTCCCCGTACCCTGAAACAGAATCCTCACGCACTCTACGGTCTGCACCCCCCAACCTGCACCCTAAGCTCTAAACCCTTGGCTAGGGTTTAGGGTTTAGGGTTTAGGGTTTGGGGTTAGGGTTTAGGGTTTAGGGTTTAGGGTTTAGGGTTTAGGGTTTAGGGTTTAGGGTTTAGGGTTTAGGGTTTAGGGTTTAGGGTTTAGGGTTTCCGAAAAATCTAGTGCTGTAGGCGAGGCGCAGAAGCCGAATGTTTCTTCCTCGCAGACAGCCCGAGGCTCCCTGCCAGACGGACACACTTAGCCATTGAATCCGAAAATCAGAAGCCTCAAGCCGGACAAGGGTTTACTTTAGGGTTTCGTTTAGAGACAGAAAACCCAAAAAGTCCTAACCCTATATCAACCCTAAACCCTAAACCCTAAACCCCAAACCCCAAACCCTTCAACTCCAACGCGCGGCCGAAGCCCTCGAAACCGGATGTAGCAGGGAGTGTCGACATGCGAGTTCCGAGACCGCGGTAGCGCCATCGTTGTGCCTCGCCTCGTTCTTGGGGACCTGGGGTTGTCTTCGGATCATGTGCCTGATCCGAACTTAGGGTGAGGTTTTGGGCCGTGGTCCAACCCTAAACCCTAAACCCTAAACCCTAAACCCTAAACACCAACCACCAACCACTGTCGGCGACACAGGCAGGCTCTGGGCCGAAGCGCTGCACGCCTCCAAGGCGCGGCTGGCGGCATGGCCGCCAGCAGGTTGTGGGCTCCGGGTTTAGGGTTTGGGGTTTGGGGTTTGGGGTTTGGGGTTTAGGGTTTGGGGGATTCGGGGGTTGACAGGTTTAGGGGGTTTCGGGGTTCATGGGCTTAGGGCTTTCGAGTTTGCAAGGTTTGAGGGTTAAAGGGCTTGCAAGGTTCAGACAGTTTAAACCCCTGTGTAGGCGCAAGGTTTTTTTTTTTTTTTTTTGTTGGGGGGGGGGGGGGGGGGGGGGTGTAGGGCTCACATGAGGCAAGAAGGGCTCCAGACACACCACAGGGCACCAGCATCCTGAACTATGGAACCTCGGACGAAAAGCGCCATCAGCCCTGAAAGCCCCCCCAAAACCCTATAACACCCTAACCCCCTAAAAGCGATACACCCCAAAAACCCCTAAACCCTAAAAGTCCTGAACCCTAGATAAACCCTATAAACCCCTATACCCTCCAAACTGTAGCATAAACCCGAAACCCTAAACCACACCTCATGAAAGCCCTAAGCAGGCCTTGGGAGGAGATTTGGTTGCTCGAAGCTGCCTGGCTCTGAAGTTTCTGCGACGCCCACAAGAGGGGCAGGTTGCACGCCTTTAAACCCTAAACCCTAAACTATTCCCAGCCCAAATGGCTGGTTTAGAGGTCCTGAGGTTTAGGGGGGTTTGTCGGGTTTTAGGGGTGTTAGGGGGTTTCATGGGTTTTAGGGGTTTTAGAGGTTTTAGGGGGTTTTAGGGGTTTCAGGGGTTTCAGGGGTTTTAGGAGTTCAGGGAGAGCCCCTGCGAAGATCGATCTTGTTTCCAACACAGAATGCTTTCCCCCGCTTGATTCGATTTAAGGGTGTAGGGTTTAGGGTTTAGGCTAGGGTCCAGGGTCCAGGGTTTAGGGTTTGGGGTGTAGGGTTTAGGGTTTAGGGACGGATGCCAAAAGGTGCCACCATGAAAGACCAGCTCTGGTGGCGCTCGCTGCACCTTTTCCAGGGGCTACCCGGCGTTTCTTGTGAGGGTTTTAGGGCTTACTTGAAGGCTTCCAGTTGAGGGTTTAGGGTTTAGGGTTTAGGGTTTAGGGTTTAGGGTACCTAGAAGTAGGGTTGTAAGTAAGGCAGCTCATCTTGCACTAAACCTATCAGGCCCCCCCTTGCTAGTTGTGTTAGGTGCTCAAGAGCTCAGGCTGCGGGCCGCCTGCGAGCCCGCAACTCGGACATGTTGAGGGTTTCGGATATGTTTCGGGGTTTAACTACGGGCATGTGTAAGAGTTTAGGGTTTAGGGTTAGGGTTTCGGGTTTAGGGTTTAGGGTTTAGGGTTTAGGGTTTAGGGTTTAGGGTTTAGGATTTAGGGTTTAGGGTTTAGGGTTTAGGGTTTAGGGTTTAGGGTTAGGGTGTTAGAGGGGGCCCATGGGGGGGAAGGGGGGAGGGGTGCTAGTGGGTGCATAAGGGCCCGTCGGGGGTTAGAGGGGCTCAGAAGGAATTCGAGGGGCTCAGAAGGAGTTCGGCCAATTTTACGCTTTCGGGGCTTTGGGAGTTTTGGGGGGCAAGGGGCTTAGGGTTTGAGATTTGTTTGGTTTGGGGGCGTTTGCTAAAGTTAGGAAGGCTTTCTGAGCCCGTGCTTATGACTTAACAAAGACTTAAACTTATCCCCTACAAGTACCTGATGTGGGAGCCATTCTGTCGTTTTCCGACAGGTTACGAAAATTTCGCGGAATTCTCTGAGGTTTCGGGCACCATGGATGGGACTCTCGCGGGGGAAATGGGTGCCCTAAGGGTGCTCGGCGGGCCGCTCTGAAAACACTCCAGGGATCTCTCTGCAGGCTTGGGCCGCCAGGGTTTCTAAAGGTTCGAGGGTTCTAAGGCTGAACTTCAAACATCCAAGCATCTCTAGCCTGATTCTTGGTTGCTCCAGCAACTAGACAGATTGAGCTCCTGCTGCAATATGACCTTTTGTGGGCTACAAGAAAAGCGCATCGGGGAGGAGGCCAGAGCCATTGGGCAGGGGATCTACGCGATGGGGGTCCCTTAGGGTGTTCTGTTAAATCATACAGATCCTTAGGCATAGGGTTTAGGGCGTTGAGGGTTTAGGGACCATGACTTAGAGATTTCGGCCCAGGATGCAGTTGCTTACCTCCAATCCTTGACGTCTTTGGCCCGACGTTGGGAGAAGCTGATCTTGCTGCCGGGCCTTGTTGGAGTTGTGTTCTTTCAGGGCTTGCTGTGCTTCATGTCTTGTTTCTTTCTAATTTCAGGCCCCTCCTAAGCAGATGCCTGGCTTTCCCTGCAGAAAGTTCTCGTGTGAGCATGGCGATCTTTGTCTCTGGCTTGGCAGCATATTCACTATACAACCCCCCCCCCCCCCGGTTCCCCCCCATAATTCGGGCTATTACTATGAGGGATAATTAATGAAGGCGTATGACGGTTATTTACGAGGGGACCCTAGGGGGGGCTAGTATAGAGGGGGGGTAGGGAAACCCATGACAGATGGCAGCCCAATAGGCTGTGGGCCCAATGCCGGCACTGGGCGCTGTCCTCCCGCGCTGCCGCAGTGGTGCTGGGTGCCAGCGCACGCAGCAGGCTTCCGGTTTGCAAGGATTACAGGGCCCGGGGCTTAGGGCTTGGGGTATGTTTCAAGTAATTGCACCAAATGCTGAGTGTGGGCAATCTTTTTTCGGCTGCCGTCCTTTGCCCATTTATGAAGACTAAACCGACGGAACCCATGAAACCCAAATCCTGCAACCTCAACCCCGCACCCCTAAAAGACTCCTAGATCCTAAGCTTGTCGAACCCCCGGAAGCCGTAAGCTCCTACACCCCTCACCCGAAAAGTCCGGAGTTGTTCGTTCCAGTCTTTAAAAAATTTCGAAAGCCCTCAAGCACACCCGAATCCGTCCCCCCCATGTTTAACTGTCTG